AAAAACAATTTGTAGGTTTTGTAAAAGATGTTAAAAACACTCTACGATAACTTAACATTAAAAAATTTAAAAACTAAACGATCGAATCGAAACAAAAAACACACAGGAAAAAACTGAAACAGCACTATTGTTTATTTAATTTTTACCGATGGCTTCATCTCAATGTGGGTGTAAGCTCTTTCGACGACCCAACACAATAATCTCTTGGAATGTTTTCTATCGGTTTTAGGCTGTCATATTTGCACATGTGGCATGTGTCGTCCATACGTTTCATCGGAAAGCAGTGAGGTACAATTATTAAAAAAGTTAGTAAGCAGAACGGGGACAGCCCTATTTTTCAAAAAGGAATATTTTTTCTACAAAAAAAAAAAAATTATTTTGAAAATAGGGAAAGAAGAAGGGGAATGAAGTTACTATCTTGTAAGTGTTTATTTTTTTAATTATTATTTGTTGTGTATGATGAGAGAGTGATATATCTGGCTCAAGTTGTCAATGTCGGTTCTTTTATTTAGGGATGATGGATGTTTAAGAATTTGACACATTTCAAGGATAGAACGCTTATGATAATTTTTTTGTTTGCACAGTATTTTGGTATTAGTGAAGTCGATACTGTGTTTGGTTGAAATGGCATGTTGTGCAAGGGCACAGGATGGTTTTGAAATCCTAATGTCGCTTTTATGGGACGTTAGTCGACCTTGAAGAGAACGGCTGGTCTGGCCAATGTAGCAGGAGTTGCACTCCGCACAGGGTACATTATAGACGACGTTAGTTTGTTCTAGAGGGGCCAATGGAGTTTTTGTCTTAGAAAATAACTTTCCTACGGTTCTGGTGTTTTTTAAAGCTATTTTGACAGGTAAGTTTTGGAAAAGTTTGATTAGCTTGTTCGTGATTTGTGGGAAGTACGGGAGTGAAGCATATTTTATGGTTTGTTCAGGAGTGAGAGGAGACTCATTCATTTGTATTCTGTTAGAGATGGACGCTAATGTTAGCCCGTTGGGTGTTTCAGTGATGGACTGCCCATAGCTTTTGGAATATAGAAATTTATTGATAATGGATGCCGGATAGGAGTTATCTATTAGAATAGACTTCAGTAGATTGAGAGATTCTTCTTTGTAAAGCGGATGTGTCAACATGTGTACTCTAAGGCTGAGGGCTTGTACTAGGTTAAGTTTATATCTGATAGGATGTGTCGAATGGTAGTTTAAGAAACGGTTGCTAGCCATTTCTTTTCTGTACCAGGTAGTGACTAATCTGTTATCTGGAGTGCGAATAATTCGCATATCTAAAAACGGGATACTGTTCTCAACCTCCAATTCACATGTAAATTGTAGGTGAGGATCAAAGCAGTTAAAAACTGATAAAGTGTCGTCCGTCTTGTTCGACGGAGTTGCTAAAATCAGATCGTCGACATACCGTTTTACAAAGGGAACCTGGAAATCTAACTTCTTGATACTATTATTAATAAGATCGTCTAGAACAAAGTTGACTAGAATAGGAGAAATCGTGGATCCCATAGGAGTTCCAAAAATTTGGCGATAAAATTTGTCATTAAAAATTAAATAGTTGGTGTCAAAAATCAATTTTAATAATTCGGAAAAAGTTTCCCAAGGTATCGGACTGTGGGGTTGGATTTGATTCCAATGGTTACGGAGAGAAGTTAATACACTGGAAAGTGGAAGATTTGTGAACAAGGATACTACATCAAAACTTACTAAGACAAAGCCTCTGGGTAGTTGATAATTATTAATAAATTCACTGAACTGGAAAGAATCTGTTATGTTGAAGTCATTATTATAATTGTATGCTTGTGAAAGAATGTTCGTTAGAAATTGAGCTATATTAGTGTTTGGAGCATTTATTGAAGATAATATGGGTCGCATACTTAGTTGTGGTTTGTGAATTTTGGGGAGACAGTAAAATCTAGGAGCATAGCCATTGTAATTATGGAGGGATTTGGCTAGTTTATCGTCAATAATTTTTTTGTTTTTTAGTTCAGTGATATATCGGTTGATTTTGTTGGTGTAAGTAGACGTGGGATTGCGAAGAAGTGGTTGATAGTATTTACTATCATCTAGGAGTTGTTGGCTCAGGTTAATGTATTGCTCTCTCATCATAAGGACTGTGGCATTACCTTTGTCACTAGTTAATACCATTAGGTCAGAGTGTTTTTTTAGAAAAGTGGCCGCTTGTTGATAAACAAGATCAAAATCGGTTTTGGCGTTAGAAGGCTTATGTGAAAAGTTAGTGAGAATGTTGTTGGCAGAGGATCTTAATTCGAGAAGGTCGTTGGTTTCAGAATGAGATAGTATGTTTTCTATGTCAGCTACGAAATTACATACAGAGAAATCGTTGAATGAAGGTTGTAATCCGAACTTTGGTCCGAGAGACAGAAGTTTAAGGACATTATTGGGTATTTGGATATCTGTGAGATTTTTTATCCATTTTTCGTGGAATGGTAAACGATTGAACGGAGTGGTCCCAAGCTTGTTTAATTTGTTTTGGAGATGAGATAGAGATTTATGTAGGTAGAAGTTGTATTTTTTGATTAGGAAAGATTCATACTGATCCAAAATGTTGGAGGGAAGAAGACGTTCAAGTTGGGTGAATATGTTTGACAATTGTCGATGAATAAATGCTATATCGGAATGTACGGACGAAATATTGAAGTTTAATAATCGTGCTCTCACCTGCATGTTAATTGAATCAGCTCTTCTTGTCAGTTTGTTGGACAGGGAACCCACAGTGGAATGCATAAGGTGGTCAGTGCGATCACTAATAAAACGTGGGTATTTCTTTGTCTTCCTGCATTGGATTAAAAAAGTCTTTTTTGCTTCGGTTCTCGCTAACTTCTCGTTCAGTTTGCTCCAAAGAGTTGGAGCAAACTGAACGAGAAGTTAGCGAGAACCGAAGCAAAAAAGACTTTTTTAATCCAATGCAGGAAGACAAAGAAATACCCACGTTTTATTAGTGATCGCACTGACCACCTTATGCATTCCACTGTGGGTTCCCTGTCCAACAAACTGACAAGAAGAGCTGATTCAATTAACATGCAGGTGAGAGCACGATTATTAAACTTCAATATTTCGTCCGTACATTCCGATATAGCATTTATTCATCGACAATTGTCAAACATATTCACCCAACTTGAACGTCTTCTTCCCTCCAACATTTTGGATCAGTATGAATCTTTCCTAATCAAAAAATACAACTTCTACCTACATAAATCTCTATCTCATCTCCAAAACAAATTAAACAAGCTTGGGACCACTCCGTTCAATCGTTTACCATTCCACGAAAAATGGATAAAAAATCTCACAGATATCCAAATACCCAATAATGTCCTTAAACTTCTGTCTCTCGGACCAAAGTTCGGATTACAACCTTCATTCAACGATTTCTCTGTATGTAATTTCGTAGCTGACATAGAAAACATACTATCTCATTCTGAAACCAACGACCTTCTCGAATTAAGATCCTCTGCCAACAACATTCTCACTAACTTTTCACATAAGCCTTCTAACGCCAAAACCGATTTTGATCTTGTTTATCAACAAGCGGCCACTTTTCTAAAAAAAAAAAAAAAAAAAAAAAAAAAAAAAAAAAACACTCTGACCTAATGGTATTAACTAGTGACAAAGGTAATGCCACAGTCCTTATGATGAGAGAGCAATACATTAACCTGAGCCAACAACTCCTAGATGATAGTAAATACTATCAACCACTTCTTCGCAATCCCACGTCTACTTACACCAACAAAATCAACCGATATATCACTGAACTAAAAAACAAAAAAATTATTGACGATAAACTAGCCAAATCCCTCCATAATTACAATGGCTATGCTCCTAGATTTTACTGTCTCCCCAAAATTCACAAACCACAACTAAGTATGCGACCCATATTATCTTCAATAAATGCTCCAAACACTAATATAGCTCAATTTCTAACGAACATTCTTTCACAAGCATACAATTATAATAATGACTTCAACATAACAGATTCTTTCCAGTTCAGTGAATTTATTAATAATTATCAACTACCCAGAGGCTTTGTCTTAGTAAGTTTTGATGTAGTATCCTTGTTCACAAATCTTCCACTTTCCAGTGTATTAACTTCTCTCCGTAACCATTGGAATCAAATCCAACCCCACAGTCCGATACCTTGGGAAACTTTTTCCGAATTATTAAAATTGATTTTTGACACCAACTATTTAATTTTTAATGACAAATTTTATCGCCAAATTTTTGGAACTCCTATGGGATCCACGATTTCTCCTATTCTAGTCAACTTTGTTCTAGACGATCTTATTAATAATAGTATCAAGAAGTTAGATTTCCAGGTTCCCTTTGTAAAACGGTATGTCGACGATCTGATTTTAGCAACTCCGTCGAACAAGACGGACGACACTTTATCAGTTTTTAACTGCTTTGATCCTCACCTACAATTTACATGTGAATTGGAGGTTGAGAACAGTATCCCGTTTTTAGATATGCGAATTATTCGCACTCCAGATAACAGATTAGTCACTACCTGGTACAGAAAAGAAATGGCTAGCAACCGTTTCTTAAACTACCATTCGACACATCCTATCAGATATAAACTTAACCTAGTACAAGCCCTCAGCCTTAGAGTACACATGTTGACACATCCGCTTTACAAAGAAGAATCTCTCAATCTACTGAAGTCTATTCTAATAGATAACTCCTATCCGGCATCCATTATCAATAAATTTCTATATTCCAAAAGCTATGGGCAGTCCATCACTGAAACACCCAACGGGCTAACATTAGCGTCCATCTCTAACAGAATACAAATGAATGAGTCTCCTCTCACTCCTGAACAAACCATAAAATATGCTTCACTCCCGTACTTCCCACAAATCACGAACAAGCTAATCAAACTTTTCCAAAACTTACCTGTCAAAATAGCTTTAAAAAACACCAGAACCGTAGGAAAGTTATTTTCTAAGACAAAAACTCCATTGGCCCCTCTAGAACAAACTAACGTCGTCTATAATGTACCCTGTGCGGAGTGCAACTCCTGCTACATTGGCCAGACCAGCCGTTCTCTTCAAGGTCGACTAACGTCCCATAAAAGCGACATTAGGATTTCAAAACCATCCTGTGCCCTTGCACAACATGCCATTTCAACCAAACACAGTATCGACTTCACTAATACCAAAATACTGTGCAAACAAAAAAATTATCATAAGCGTTCTATCCTTGAAATGTGTCAAATTCTTAAACATCCATCATCCCTAAATAAAAGAACCGACATTGACAACTTGAGCCAGATATATCACTCTCTCATCATACACAACAAATAATAATTAAAAAAATAAACACTTACAAGATAGTAACTTCATTCCCCTTCTTCTTTCCCTATTTTCAAAATAATTTTTTTTTTTTTGTAGAAAAAATATTCCTTTTTGAAAAATAGGGCTGTCCCCGTTCTGCTTACTAACTTTTTTAATAATTGTACCTCACTGCTTTCCGATGAAACGTATGGACGACACATGCCACATGTGCAAATATGACAGCCTAAAACCGATAGAAAACATTCCAAGAGATTATTGTGTTGGGTCGTCGAAAGAGCTTACACCCACATTGAGATGAAGCCATCGGTAAAAATTAAATAAACAATAGTGCTGTTTCAGTTTTTTCCTGTGTGTTTTTTGTTTCGATTCGATCGTTTAGTTTTTAAATTTTTTAATGTTAAGTTATCGTAGAGTGTTTTTAACATCTTTTACAAAACCTACAAATTGTTTTTGTAAGTATGAACCCTTTTGGTTATTTACTTATATTTTACATCGTTTTATTTTTATTTGTAGTGAACTGATGATGCTTTTGAAAACTAAAAAGCGAAACGTATTCGATTAAATCAATGAAGTAGTTGACGACTTTCATTTGCCTATTATTGACCGATACAACCTCTGATATTCAACTATTGAATATTTTTTAAATATATATATATATATAAGGATCACTCAGACGAGTGGTGGGTTCTTATATCGGTCTCTAGGTGGAGAAATAAAAGACAAAGTTGATAGGCTACTTTATCTATTTTGAAGACGTTTCGCTTTCGAGTTTTGAAAGCATCATCAGTTCATCTAAAAAATTTTTACAATATGAGAACCACACAATCATGGAAACGATGTTAATTGTTACCTTAAAAAGATATGTAGCAGTCAATGTTATTAACAAACATGTGAATGAAACTAAGTAAATGGACATAATACGCTGATCTTGTATAAACAGTTAAGCAACTAACAACATATATGAACTTGTAAAAAATTATCACAGCAAATGACCATGTGGTCTGAAGTAAATTCAATGTTATTTAATGTTAATAAGTGAGTAAGAACCAAGAAAAAAGATCAGCGTATTATGTCCATTTACTTAGTTTCATTCACATGTTTGTTAATAACATTGACTGCTACATATCTTTTTAAGGTAACAATTAACATCGTTTCCATGATTGTGTGGTTCTCATATTGTAAAATTTTTTTAGATGAACTGATGATGCTTTCAAAACTCGAAAGCGAAACGTCTTCAAAATAGATAAAGTAGCCTATCAACTTTGTCTTTTATTTCTCCACCTAGAGACCGATATAAGAACCCACCACTCGTCTGAGTGATCCTTATATATATATTGGATTGACGGTCGTACTCCTTTTTCCGATATATATATATATATATATATATATATATATATATATATATATATATATATAAACGAAGAATGATCACAGCTGTCCAATTATTAATTAGTATAATGGTAAGGTTAATTGGCTGGCTTTCAGCTGCTAACCCAGTTAACCTTACCATTATACTAATTATATATATATATATATATATATATATATATATATATATATATATATATATATATATACAACTAAATACCACAATACACCAACAAGATAAAAGTCGAAAGTTTACAGGATGACTCCACCTATTCAAAAAAAAAAAAAAAAAACAGAAAGAAGTAGAAACATAATATTATATTATATTATAGTTAGTACTTACCTTTGCACCAAATACTTTTGTAAAGCGCGTTTAAAAATTTGGGTTCCTATCGTGTTTTCAACCATTCTTATAATAGAAGCGCCTACAATAAATTTAATTTTAATATTTATGAAATATTAAAAATGACTTCACGTTAATTTGCTATAATTATCTATTTACTCTATTATCTTTCGAAAATCTTTTCCTAAATTCCGTCAAAAATATCTTATTCGCAAAATTCGCAACATTTTTAACCAAGGTCAAGAATATGTATTATAGGTGGGTGGCTTTTGGCGAAAAGTGTCGATTTCATAGCCACAAGTTGAAACTTGTTTTAATTGATGGATGATGATGCTAATTGTTTCATGGCAACCAATTTATAAACGTCATAAAAGAAATAAAGTCCAGAAGACTCCAATGGGCAGCACACCTCAGAAGACATTCTGACGAACGAACAGTAAGACTGGTGTGGGAGGAAGTCCCAACTGGAAGGAGACCACGCGGACGCCCTCGTCTCCGGGGGCGAGATAATATAGCAGGAGACCTAAACACATTGAATATTTCTTGCCTACAAACTGAATCTTGTTTTGATCAAAAGAACATGATGCTAAAACATTACAGTAATAAGTTTACTCAAAGTTTCCCAAGGACACCTGCTTATTTATAACAATTTTTCAACAAATAAAAAATTTCTTTTAGTAATGGATATTTTAGACCGACTTTTGCAATATAAAATCAAAATTGAATTGTGCGTTTTGAAACTACTTGATTTTATCGCATATTTTTTGTTTTATTTTACAGTCCAATTAGAAGACTTCCACTCTGAATCAACTTTTTCGGTCAAAGTGGAAAATCACTGCAGTGTTACACGTGCAGTAGCTAGTGGTGTTCCTCAGGGATCGATATTAGGGCCCATTCTGCTTTTACTGGACTTATCTGATTTAAAGTGTGGATGGCAGTCAAAAATGGTTTCATATACTATCTTACTGTCCAGATATAGTTAATACTCTTCAAAGTGAGCTTAACCATCTATCAGAATAGAGAATGAAATGGACTATTATAATAAATACACGTAAGTGTTATGTCGTTCACCTCCCGATATTACTAACTGCGACGGACCCCTAATAACACGCTCTGAGGTGATAAAAGCCATACAATCATCAAAAGATGGCAGAGCGACTGGTCCTGATGAAAGTCCAACTGAAATATATAAGTTTATAAATGATAGCAATGTTTTAGAGGCTATAACTTCGTTTTTCAATTCCATTTATACCAGCGCACAACTACCTAATGATTGGTCTAATTTACTGTTTACAGCTCTACCTGTAGACAACAGCAAAAACCTGTGCTGATTATAGAAACATCAGTTTGTTAAACCACTTATTGAAAATTTTTTTGAAGGTAATACATGATCGTATCTACAATAAATGCGAGGAATACTTGGATGACACTCAGTTTGGTTTCCGTAACGGGTTTGGAACGAGAGAGGCACTCTTTGGAATAAACGTACTTGCTCAAAGATGTCGTGATATATCTGTAGACATATACAGCTGTTTTATTGACTTCCAAAAGGCATTTGATCGTGTTAAGCACTCTATATTGATCGAAGCTCTAAAAGACATTGGCTTGAACGGCAGAGATGTTCGAATAACTACAAATTTATATTAGAATCAAACAACATCAGTTTTAGTAGATGGTGTGGAATCACAGGCTCTCAATATTAAAAGAGGAGTACGGCATGGATACCTCTTGTTACCACTGCTTTTTAATGTTTACTCCGAAAGAATTTTCAGAAAAGCACTTTCTGAAAAACAAGAAGGAATACTTGTGAACATAGATACAAATAAATTAAGTCAAATCATGGTCAATTCATGTTACTTATCAAACTATTTTATAGATAATAATACGAAAATGTTGAGAACCAAAGTAACTACTAAGGATGATTCTAGATTTCCCGTTCTCACCGACACAAAACACAAGCGACTATAATAGCGATATTGTAAAATGGAGGCGCAAGAGTGGGCAGTTTAGATCTATAAGTGACATATGTTACACATTAAAGAAACTAGGGCCAATTAGTCAACTAACCCCTTTAGTCAACTAGCCCCGGTCTCCCCTACAAATTGTTGCATATGCAGACGATGCCGTTATTATTAGTAGAAGCAAGACACGACTAATGGAAACGTTAAAAGAAATTGATCCTGAAGCACAAAATAAAGGACTTAAAATAAACGAAACAAAAACTAAGTACATAACCATCAAAAGAACACCTGAGAATGAAAATAATATAGCAATATCATCATCATCATCATCACCACCCAGCCCTTTGCATCCACTGCTGGACATAGGCCTCCCTCATATTTGTCCATTGTGCTCTGTATTGATCTCTTTTCATCCAATTTCTTGACATTTTCTTGAGATCGTCAGAGATTGATATTTCCGCTGGATACTAGGTTTGTCATGAATTTTGTTTTGGAGATGTTTATTTTAAGACCCACACTGGGACACACTAACTGAAGTTCTTGTAGCATTGTACATATCTCCTTGAGGTTATCCGAGAACAAAACTATATCGTCAGGCCTTTTTCTTGAATCAAGTTTTTTCTCAAAACGATTCGTTATTATTCTTGTAAAGAGTTTGTATAGGTGACTAAGAAGACTTATTGGTCTGTAGTTTTCTAATTCATGGGGATCTCCTTTTTTGTACAATAGAATAACTTCAGCATTGTGCTATTTGTCGGGTATATTACTGTCCAAAAGGCACATGTTAAAAAGGTTTTTTATTTTCTTAAGTAGGCAAGTGCCTCCGATTTTGATTGCATCAGTAACTACACAATCTTCGCCTGGAGATTTGTTATTCTTAGCTTTTCTTAAGGCTGGTTTTATTTCGTCCATTGTGACTTTCGGTAGTAGTTCTGATCCTTGGTTGACAATGCCCTTTTTTTTGTTAATATTTCTGGTACTTAATCTTCTCTGCTTTTTGCTTTGTGTTGGATTGTGTACAGCAATTTGTAGAAGTTTTCAACTATTTTAAGGGTTTCCTCTCTGTTGATTGTAAGATGACCATTTCTATCTTTAATCTTTTGCGTATTTTCAACTGACATTTTCGTGAGGGGTATTTAGCCTTTAATCACCACGTTGGCTAGAAGTGTTGGTGAGTGTTTGTTTCAGCCGTCCATTCAGGGTCCGACGCTGTTTGCGTTCGCCCATTCTGGATCAGATGCCGCGGGTTGTGATTTTATACTATCCCTAAAATCAAGAGTTGCCAACTCCGCCATCTTCGCCGTACCGAAAGTATTTCTTCGTCGCCTTGGATGCCGTTCTGGACTTCATCCGTGACCCTGGACAAGGCACCCTTAGCATATGCTATTTTCCCGGGTCAAGAAGCTCCTGGAATCTGCGGAGGGCAGGGATTGATTCACTTTCCCTGATAGGACTATCCAATAGAATCCAAAGGACTCGAAAGGAGTTCCTACCCGCTAGCAATATACAACTATACTATTAAACGTGTGGATGCATTCACATATCTGTGCACAGAAATCAATCAGAAGAATTCCGTAATTAGCAAAATTAATGCACGTATTTCCAGTGGAAATCGTAGATAATATGCTAATAAAAGATTGATGATATCGAAATTATTAGACCAAAGAACCGAAATGACTATCGACAGAACTTTGATTAGACCCATAATAACCTATGGTTGTAAAACCTAAATAATGACGAATAAAGAAGAAGCCCAACTCAGGATATTCGAGAGATAGATACTGAGAAAAGTATATGGGCCAGTGCAGGAGGAAAACGGCAAATAGAAAATCAGGAGAAACGATGATGTTAATGAACTGAATGAAGGGTATGACATTGTAATATTTGTGAAAAGTCAAAGACTGTCATGGCTGCGACATGTTCAGCGACTAGAAGACACGAAAACGACAAGGAAGATGTTACAGTAGAGGCCGGTAGGAAGGCGGAAAAAAGGAAGGCCCAAGACGAGATGATTAGATGTCGTGAAAGACGACCTGAAAACCATGAATATAAGACAATGGAGGAGAAGGGCCGAGGAGAGATCCGAATGGAAGGACATAACCAGATACACAAAGACCCTTCCAGGGTTATGATGTCAAAAGAAGAAGAAAAAAACTTGTTTCTTAAAACAATATATATTGAAAATAACTTTCGTGCTAAATGGAAATACTTCGAAATTGACACTTAGTCTAAGTCATTAAAAAAACTATATTCCTAAGTATTTTTTTCTAAAAGTCAAGTTTATATTACCTTTACTATAAGATATAGTATTAAATTTATGAGTAGGGGGCCACAGTTTAGAGGTCAAAGAGTGAGAAAATGGTTGTCCATCTGCACGCAATGCTGAAAATTGTTCATTAATGATGAACTGTTTGCTCATTTCAAATTCTAAAAGTTCTGGAATCTAAAAGAAAAATACCAAATTACACTAATTTGACATCTAATCCTGGCTTAAATATACTGTACCTCGTTTAAAATAAAATATTGAAAATAGGTGGCGAAACCTTCATTTAAGAAAAGAGTATCCCACCATTTTGTTGTTACGTAGTTTCCAAACCACATATGAGATAATTCATGAGCTATTATAGAGAGAACTGCCCGCTTGCTTGTGAAGCCATATGGATATAGAAGGAACCGTTCACTGTAAACATAAAACAAGCCATTAAAGCAACACATTTATTTGAATCAATACTATTATTAAGTTTATGACAAAAAAAGCATTCTTAAAATTAAGAAATAGTTTGTTTTTGTGTGGAATTTTTAAATTTTACATACTATTAGATATTTCATTATTTGTGCTCTGAATAAAATTTAATTCAGATTGAGAATCTGATGTATACTCCAGTGGCGGCGGCGCCGCCATCTTTCACGTTGAGAATACCTATGAATAACTGTTCTGATGAGACCTATTAGGTCGAAATACGTATAAACAGATACAAAGGCGCTGTTGTCGTGAAATCAAATATTTGCTGTCTTTTTCATTTTATTCGGATCTACTCTGGAATGCAAATTTTAGATTCCGCATGTCTCTTTTAACACCTTCATCAACGTCTGTTTTGCTTTGCAATTTTTAGAAAGCACAGATTAAAGCAGAAATCTGAATTGTGCTTCGAAACTATTTTACGGATTTATTATCAGATGTCGCTATTGCGTCCATATCGAAGCCATTTTAGTGTTGCTTCTTAAAAGACAGAAAATATTGATCTTTCGCGTTGAGAACACCTATCAATAACTGTTCTGATGAGACCTATTAGGTCGAAATACGTATCAACAGATACATAGGCGCTGTTTGCGTGAAATCAAATATTTGCTGTCTTTTTCATAACCTTATATAATATTTTATTGTCATGGAAAAACTTCAGAAGCATCATTAATTGCATGTAATATTGTTTTATTCGTTATTAATTTTTTTTAATTAATTTAATTTATTCTTAAAGATAATAAAATATTAGTGTGATTTCTTCGACAATTAATTTAATATTGGTGTGTTCCGAAATAAATTTTACGTTTATCCTACAGATAAGTAACCGCACCATAATTTGACGTGAATAGACGGGTACATTTTATTCTATGAATAAATAACTATCGTTCAGATAACTATCTGACAGATGGGACAATATTTATTTGCAGGTTAAAAAAAATAAGAGTTTCGACTGAAGTACACTGAAATTCATTTTTTCAAACCACATAAGGTAGACATTAGTTCATTGAAATATTTTTGGAAATCTTCAATATGGACATCATAAGAAGAGGAAGGAATAAAATTGTCCTCTACCAAAACTGTATTTGAATATATACATATGTAATTTACTATGTAATTGAATATAATTTTTTAATAATTTATTAAAGATTAATACTTACCCGTAGGTTACTATTCCCCAATTTTCCATTGCTCCAGGAAACGATATCTGAGCATAATGGTCAATTTTTTTAATACCCAATGTATCATATGGAAGTTGTGTCCATTTACTTAAAGCATTTAGTATCTTAACTCCATATTCCAAAGCCAAACCTCTTTTAGAAGCAAGATGTCTTCTTGAACAAACTCCATGACTAATGCCATTGCTCGTGGTATTGGAACAGGTAAATTTTGATATTGTAAATGCCAGTAAATAAGAGGACATTACAGGTGTGTCTTCAAAAACAGTTGTTACGGTATTAGTTTCATTGCTAAAAATATATACACATATTTTATCAAGACTTATGTTGTATTAAATTAGTAAGTCATTATTATCTCTATACAGGGTGCGGCATTATTAAGAGGAAGTCAAATTACTTATTTGTTGTAAGAGATACGAAAATAAATATTTAGGTAAAAATTGGAGCATGAATTGGAACATACTTTAAAAATATTTCTAAATATACAGGACCAGCTATATTGAGAGCGCTGAGAGGATGTCTCCTTGTCTTAAACCGTTATTGATCTCAAAGTCGCCAGTATTCTATTTTGTATTACTACAGCAGTTTACTAGGAAAAACAATCAGACAGAAAATGACCTTTCGGGATTAGGTGAAAAACAGTTTTAGAAATGGGGAAATAATTTTTTTTTCAACTTTTTCTTTGTTTAGAGAAATGCTATCTTGAAATCAATTTTGCTTTGCCACAATACAAACATATCGTAAAGGTTTTCCTTCAAAACCTTCTTCTTCTTCTTCTTCGGCTTTTCCCATTATGAGTTCGCCGTTTTCATCCTCCACAGCACTCTATTCTCCCAGTAACCTTCTCTGAGGTCTCTATCTATCATAGCATTTCCGACGTATGTTTTCTATCTTGTAGCAGGTCTTCCTCTCCGTCTTCTTCCCGGCGGGTCCCAGTTAAATATTCTCTTCTGCCACCTATGCTCTGGCATTCTTTGTTCATGCCCATACCACTGCAGGGCTCTGTTTTCCAACTTTTTTGTAATTGAGCATTCTACTTTTATTCTGTTCCATATTTCCTCCGTTCTTATTCTATCCGCTCTTGTGATTTGTAGACATCTTTTCATAAAGTCCAGAACTATTCTTATTTTATTTCGTATTGTTCTTGTCATTGGCCATACTTCCGCTCCATATAGGGTAATATTTATCACTATGTTTTAAAAGATCCTCTTTTTGTTTTCTTTGGTTAGAGTGTTGTTCCATATCACTCCATGAAGTGCTCCTGTGGCTTGTTTTCCCCGTGCTATTTTCATTTCTATATCTTTCATACAAGTACCATCTCGGCTAATCATTGACCCAAAATACTTAAAAGTCTTCTAAAAGTCTATTCTTCCTTTAGTTATTTCCTTATCATATATTCCATATCCTCTCTGTCTTGTTCAAAAATGACTTGATCATCTGCGAAAAGTAGTGAATGTAATATATTCTCTTGTACTGGTCTTGTACTGGTATGCCGCATTGTTCCGCATTTTCTATACCATCTTTTCAAAGCCTGATCTATATATATATATATATATATATATATATATATATGTTAAAAAGTGTAAGTGAGAGACCACATCCCTGTTTGAGGCCTTTTGTGGAGGTGATTGTTTTTGTTATTTCATTACCTGACTTAATTTGCACTAGTGTTTCTTTATACAGTCTTTGTGTTATATTCACCCATTTCTCTCTAACGCGCATTCTTTTCATTGCTTCCCATAGTTGTTTCCCTAGGCACGCTATCGTATGCTTTCTCTAAGTCGATTAAGGTCATATGTGTTTCAATGTTTTTTTCTTTCTTCTTTTCAATCACTTGTCTCATAAAGAATATATTATCTAAACATGATCTGGCTTTTAGGAATCCGGCTTGTTCATCGCTATAATGGTCCATATGTTGTTCTAGTTTTTCTTTTATAACTGATGAAAAGATTCTTGCTATTGAAGGCATTAAACTGATCCCTCTGTAGTTATTTGGTGAGCTTTTGTCACCTTTTTTGAAAATGGAGGACATGTATTATAAATTCCACTCGTCGGGAATTTTCTCTTCTGCTTCGATTTATTGAACAAAATTCGTATAAAGGATATTATCCTTGCGCCTCCATATTTCAGCAGTTCTATTTTTATGTTTCCTGGTCCTGGTGCTTTATTGTTTTTGGATTTCTTCAGTGCTTTATTTATATCTTCCTCTGTGATTTCTGCTTCCTCAGTTATTATTATCACAGGGTCGTATGAGATATACTCCGGCCTATTCTCCTACAATAATTTTGTGTAATGCTTTGTCCACTCTTTTGATGTAATTATCTATATGGTATTTTTACTTCGTTTATTACTTCTGATGTTTTTTTATTTTTTTCCATGCTTCCGTTGATCTGTTATACCCTTTCGTGTTGTCTTTTTCTCTACACATTCTCTCCCAGTATTCGTTTTTTCTCGAGCCTTATTCTTTATTTAACTTGTTGTCTGAGGGTAACATATTCTCCCCGTGTTCCTGGGGTTCTGTCGTTTAGCCATTTATGAAATGCACTTTTTTTCTTTTAATCATCTCTTCTAAGTCGTCACTGCATTTCTCCAAATATGTATTCTTATGTTGTTCAATATCCAGCACTTCGTTTGCCGCTTTGTTTATTATTTCCTTTAAGTGTTGATACATTTCTGTTGGGGTCGATTCTTCGTTCATCTGTAGCATATTCTGTAGCCGATTCTGATATAGTGTTCGAGTACTAAATTGTTGTAGAAGTTCTACTTTATACCTGGTATTTGCGATTTTTTGCATCTCCTCATATTTCTGGATATTGTCTTTTTGTCGTCTTTCCGTGTATATGAATTTTCCTAGCACTAATCGGTGGTTACTTGCACATTCTGCTTGTCTGTATACTCTTACATCTTGTATTATTGTTTTGCTGGCTTTTCTTACTATTATTAAATCAATAATTGATCTTTGGTTTCTACTAGGTTCTTCCCATGTGTATCTAAGTATGTTTTTTTGCTGGAATCTTGTATTGGTTATGACTAAATCGTATTCTCGACATATTTCAATTAGCCGACTTCCATTGTCGTTTCTAATTTCGTCTTCTCCGAATCGTCCCACTATATCTTCATCATCCTTTCCTATGTGTCCTTCAAAACCAGATACCAAAAAGCAAATGAAGTTTGGAGATTATAAGTATGTCTAACGATATTTCCATGATTACATGGAAAAATAGAGGTAAAAAATATTGTAATGGGTAGTGTTTTACATAATCCACTGGAAAAAAGTACAGTCCTGAGAAGAATTAAAAAATGAGAACAAGAAACGGTTGTCCGTCCAAAAACAGACTACAATAAGTATATAGGAGAAGTCGATCAAAAAGGAACAATGTTCTTGAAAATTTAAATCAAATTACTACCAAAAAATATCCCGTAGGATAGATCTTTTTAAATAATAACAGGAGACAGTAAAAGCAGGGAAGGAAGATTGCACAATGGGCTCCTTCAAGGATCGGTGCTTGCCCCAATCGTCTTTAATAGGTATACATCTGACATTCCTCCGACATTGGCAAAAAATATAGATATGCTAATAACTAAGCACTAGCATCCCGTCGTAACAGAATACAAGGCGCACGCAACATATTGACAGAGAATTTGACAGTTTTTGATAAATCATTTATGGATTTATGGAGGCTTATTAACAAAAAACAATAAAACGGAGATTTCCTGCTTTCACCTGAATAATAAACAAACAAAAGCAAGATGTATGTTTTAAGAACAAGCTTCTCCGTTTTAACCCATACCCGAATTTATGTTAAATATCCTATGGAGCAAATGCAAACAATCACAAAACATCAGCTCTAGGTCTGGTCTACTAATTTGCCAAATATGGGGCTCCAGTGTGGATGAATAGCAGCCATGTGACGAAGTTTCGACACCAACCTCAATCAAACCATGAAGATTATCAACGGATGTATTAAAAGTACCCTTCCTCCATGGCTCTCTGTTTTAAGTCATATTAGACCTCCAGACATCCGTAGACAAAAGAGTTTCCTAAGGAAAATATAACTGCAAACTTTCAATGACATAGATATAGATGTACAAGATATTGAACTAAAGCGGCTTAAATCTAGATCGCCTCCACTTATTAAGTAAGGACAGTAACAACTACATGAGGAAGATTTCAGTGCCCACGCAAAATGAAAGGAATGCTGAGAAACACCCACCACAGATGGCAATTAACTCCAATGAACACCTACCAGGTATGAAATTAATCCGCTTTGAGTGTCCCATATAAATGGAGATTGAGCCAGATACAATCCAACCACACCAAACCATTTAACACATTGTGGTAGCCTGAATAGCCTGTTACATAACACCTTGGACATCCTTCTAAAAGCAGCTCTAGCCAGCTCTATTCTAGAACTAATTTTGCCGTGACTTTCTCCGTTACAATTTAATTGCTGTCCAAGGTAAACGATTTTATCAATTTGCTCAAGTTTGGTATTATTTGCATATATAGACGGTTTTATATGCTGTTGTTTACTTATTACGAGTATTTTGGTTTTCCGTATGTTAAGATCCAGACCTGCCTCTCTACAACTCTCAACGACACTATCAAGTAGTGTTTGCAAATCTTGTTAACTAGAAGCTAGGAGTACTGTATCGTCCGCATATCGCAAATTATTGATGACTTCGCCGTTCACAAGTATTCCTTCTTGTTTTTCAGAAAGGGCTTTTCTGAAAATTCTTTCGGAGTAAACGCTAAAAAGCAGAGATGACAAGAGGCATCCCTGCCGTACTCCTTAAATTATCGCATTATCCTTTTGAAATGAAAAAATGAAAAAGGTCCAAAATATTTATCGAAAAATGAAAGAACAAAGTTTCAACTTGAACTTGGGTCCTTGATGAAGTCAAAAATAAAGGACCCTTAAGCTAGCGGGAACAAATAAGCGGAATCAAGTTTAACCTACGTAATATTTTTTCACCCATTTTTTACTAACTTATTACCACCTTAATAATTTTTCACCACCAAACCACCCTTAATGGGAGCGATTCTGCTGGCTTAAGGTTCATCAAGTAAGCAGAATGCAGAAAAAACTTTTTGTCGATGGCATATTTCTTCACCGTTTTTTCACTAATTTATTACCACCCTAATAATTTTTCACTAGCAAACCACCCTTAAGGGGAGCAATTCTGCTGGCTTATGGTTAAAGCTAGTATAATTCCAAAAAAGAATATTTATGATATACCACAATTCTCTGCTAGGTTTTTACGAATTTATTACATCACTAGTAATTATTCACTCCTCAACTACTCCTTATGAGAAGTCAATAATTCTGTTGGGTTAATATATAAAGTAATAAACAATTTTTTTTTAAATTTTACTGTATAGGTAAAGTGCATATTTACTGAATTTTATCCACCCTCATAATTTTTGACCCCCTAAGCCATAGGTAATGGAAAACATTCCACCAGGTACACATTCACTCTAGCTGAATGCAAAATCTTTGCGTAAATACAAAAGCGCTCTGCTAGATTTTTACCAGATTTTTCTAGCCTAGTCATTTTTTATCAACTACTCTAATTGAAAACATTCTGACATGTTACTCTTTGGTAAATATTATTTATTTTTGAAATGGTTAAATATTGAAAATATTAAAATATTTCAAAAAGCATAAATTTTAACTGTTTTAAAAAATTGACTTTGAATCGAATCGTGAGTACATTGCTAAGCGAAATCGAATCGTGAATCCCCTTCATGAATAAAAAATAACTGAAATCAAGTTGAGTTTTAGTAACTTCAATGGAATGATTATATTTCACAGAATAATTACCAGGTAAGAAACATTCAAACTGAAATAATTTTATTATGCCTAATAATTACCTAATTGTAAAGGATGGTCGGGACCTTGCACACCTATTGTTAAAAGGATAAAAGGTTTGTATTATATAAGGCCCGTTTTCACGCTACGTCTTATTGTACGTTTTGTTGGATAGGACAAATTCTATACAATAAAACGTTGCATGTAAACAGTAAAACGTAAGTCTTGTCGAATCGAAATGAAATCCAAACGGAAGGAAAAACATGGTGTGTATACACTGGACAAAACGTACATTTGTCGTACGTTTTATATGACCAACAAAACGTACAATAAGACGTAGCGTGAAAACGGGCCTTTAGGTACATCCATAGAACTGAGAGAAGTGTACCGAAAATCAAGGAGTGAGGGCCCCGCCGCAAATTGACCACAGCCCATGCACTTCCCACGCGCAGTCCACGTATAGTCCAACCTAGTCCAAGTACACGTTTTTCAATAATAACGCATATTCAACACAGCCCACGCCCATGTCAAATATTTGTATTCTTCGCAGTGTTCGCAGTATTTATTCTTAAATGATACCTAAGCGGTACTTTACAAAGTACATGATCTCATAAAAGCTAATAATACAATAATAAATGAATCCAAATCCATTGTGATCCCGACTGCTTGGTTCTGGGAATTTAGTTCTGGGTCAAGTTAGGAAACTAAAAACCGGAACAACTCATAATTATTAATATAAGCTTCCGAGTGCACCTCACGTAAAAACTCGGTAGTCTGTTTGTTGTATAATATTTCCTTGTAAAAGCGTTTTATACTCGAGGTTTCGGTTCTCGGATAAGTATTCGATTCCTAGTCACAGACTCATTTAAAGATTTAAATTTCAGTCAGGTTTTGTTACACGTTTTTTTTTAAAACATATTTTATTTTTTCTTAAATAAACGAATTGCAAAACATTGAAATTGAAATTTAAACAAAATATAATATTTTGAAAGATCTACCGATTTTACTCTTGGGAACTCTTCGTTCAGTAAAAAAAATGACATCATAAAGGTTAGGTAGAGACCCACGACCCACGAAACTGTGTTGCTAGCACAACTCTATCCACGCCAACCAAGTCTGGCATTAGCCTGGCGGTTTGGGTTTAATATGCGTCGCTCCGTCTAAAACCACGTTTTACAAAATAACCCACGCGTGAGTTGCGCTTGGGATGTGCGTGGGCTATGCTCAATTTGCGCCGGGCCTTGGATATTAGATTGATACCACCCCCTTCACTATTATAGACAATGATAATTCACTTATACGACAATGAATTGCAAATATAGCACCTCTGTATTGTCTCTAAGTGTGTTTTATGATGAGTACAATAGTTTTTGAGTAATTTTTAATAGTAAAAACCAGTGCACATTCATCTACGCACGATCACGTCTAGACTTGATTTTCAACTCCTGAAATGTGAAAACGTGCATTTTTTTTATACCGAACGAAAAAGTAACACTTTTAGTATAAATATTTTAGTATAAGTACAATAGAAAAATTAGAGCATAAAGTGCGGAATTTATGCCCTAGGTGAAAAACTAGCTAGGTGAAAAACATAAAGATAGCTTTACTAAAAAGATTATATTGTTTTTTATTTTCTTCATCATAATTTATTTAGATTCATTACTTCTTTGGTTTATGTTTTACATAATTAAAAAAAAAACTGAAACTTACTTATATTGTGAATCCGCTATAGGAGTGTTGGCAGTAGCAAGGAAATCAGATGGGTAGATGAGAGTTAATCTAAAAATTGCCTTATACTGGGGTTCGTCAAAACAAGGGAAAGCTCTTAGAGCATAGTTTGGTTGAAATTGTGTAGTAACAACATATTCAGTAGTTTCGTTAATTTCATATTTCTGTCTAAATAAACCCCTAGAATTATCATCATTTAAATGACCTCTAAAATATATTTGTAATTTATAGACAGTACCGACAATGAGCTTATTGGCAAGTTGAATTTCCAGTTTTTTTTTACTTAAATTTGATTTATATCCTACAACTTCTACACTTTGGGTATCTTCATATGCAGTTGCCGTAATGTTCACAATTTTGAGTGCAGAATGTAACACAATATTGTTTTTTGGTTCAGAAACTGAAAATACTATTTTAACTAAACCTTCGAAAGTTTCACTTTTTCCTTCTAGACATTCCCTGTCTACATTGAAAACTAGATCATACTTGGACGGCACTGTTGTTGTAGATAAACGATAGTCATCCTCAGATATCCCACTTTCATGTTCCAAAATATTTTTGGACAAAAAATTCCGTTTCGGCTCCAAAAATAGGTCAGTATCCAGAAGCAGGTCAGGAATAGCCCATGTTAAACTAACTAACGAAAGTAAGATGAGTGGTACCATGCCGAATCTAAAATACAGTAATTCATATAATAAAAGTTTTATTAGAAACTTTTATACAGCTACTAAACTGTATATTATACAGTGGGAACATAAAGTCTCCCCCCCCCCTCTCGACCGGTTTATTTTAAAGATAAAACAAAATCGCTCGGATACCTAGATTTTTATACTTGTTTTAATATCTAATATTAATAATGAAATTGAAATAAAAATTAAATATTATGCGTGACTTAAATACGAATATTCGTAAAAGAAAAAGAGGTGAATTTAATAGTGATTTTGATCTAGGTAAAAGCAATGAAAGGGGAGAAAGATTCAAACTGTTTGTAGATGAAAAAGATTTGAAATACTAAATAAATTCCTCAAATTACCATCAAGACGTTTGTACACCTGGGTTTCTTTGCAAGATCAACCAGGAAACGTAATACGGAATCAAATTGATTACATAATTGTGAACATGAGATTGTGTAATGCATGCCTATCAGTTACAAGTTTCTCCGGTGTTGATTTATCATTAGATCATGTTCCTTTTTCTTAAATTTAGGTTGAGATTTAAGAAGTTTACGAAAAATAATAGTAACACAAAAGGAGGTAACTAATTTTACTCACACGGTGGCACTGCTATTATTGTACGTAATATCATACCACCTATGAGGAAACCATGTATCAGACGGAAAAAATACAAACTGCAGTAATTTGTATCAGTTCTCAACCATGGCATTGCGGCAATGTGCAGCCCTCCAGGGCATAATATCACCACAGCAGAATATGAAGACTTCTTCAAACATCTATCAAACCCATTTTTAATTGGAGGTGACTGGAATGCCAAGCATACGGACTGGGGATCGAGCCTATGTACGACAAAGGGAAAATGTCAGACAAGCCATAGCTAACACAAACAGCTCTTACTTTCCTACAGGGCAATCCACCTACTGGCCATAAGATCCCAATTAAAATCGATCCCAAATCTACTCGACTTCTTTATCTTCCATAGCATAGTCTTAAATTATTTTAACATACAAGCATCCTGGCATCTGTCCACCGACTATGCTCCCATACTTGTCACCCTATCTACGCAAATTATAGAAGGTCCGAATATCCCTAAGTTGACAACATCAAAGACCATTTGAAAAGTATTCGATTTTTACATAAATGAAAATTTAAATTTAAATATAAGGTTGTCGACTTTTCTACTCTAGTAGTACCGACAGCCAACATCAGTATGGAGTAGCAATTAATGTCAGTAAAAAAGTTGCAAAATCAGTTGTAGGCTTTATACCAATATGGGAAAGAATTATGCTAATACAAATGATTACAACACAGAGGAAGAAATTGAAAAGTTTTACGATGACCTTCAAAAAACTCTACAAAATACAACATCTAGAGATATAACAGTAGTCATGGGTGATTTTAACGCCAAAGTTGGAGAAGGAAGATGTGAGTCTACTCTAGGTCCAATCGCTGTTCGAAATGAGAGAGAACTACGCCTTATAGAATTCTGCCTAGAACATAACCTTGCGGTAATAAATACTTTCATAAAACTGCTTAAACGACGCCTTTACACTTGGAAATCGCCAGCTGACAATATTTTAATAAACCATAGATACCGAAACGCAATACAATCGGTGAAAGCATACCTAGGTGCAGACGTGGCGTCGGAACACAATCCTCTTGTAGCAAAATTCCAACTTCACTTAAAAAATATATAAAAAAGCTACAAAAGTGATAAACTTAAAGTACAAAAATTAAAATCAGAAGACGTCAAAGAAAAACTGAAACAAGAAATTAATGCAAACCTAGAATCCACACCGGAATCAATTGATGGTGATGTAGAACAAAAGTGGCAGAGAACTCAAAACAACCAGATGCAAAAAGGAGATTGGATGACAGAAAAAATCTTGGAAATTATAAAGAACAGAATAGGGCAAAAGAATATCAACATAACTCAGTATCAACAGCTGCATAATCAAATCAAATAAGAATGAAAATAAGAGAAGCTAAAGAGACTTATTTCGCTGGAAAATGCCAAGAAATGAAGGACTTCCAAAACAAATATGATAACTTTAATTTCCATAAAAAAGAATTAGCTGGGGTAGTAAAACAAAAACCTCATGCATACTATTGGACAAACAAGGAAACATTTTAGTGGAGACGAAACAAAAATTAGGAAGATAGAAAGAATATATAGAGGAATTATTCCATGATCAGAGACAGGAAAATATATATGAAGAGAATCAGAGAAAAGACGAGGGACCCGAAATAACAAAGTCAGAAGTTATGCATGCAGAAGTCCATGAAAAATAATAAAGCTGATAACCCAAATGTAATATCAAGTTAATTGCTTAAACTGGTTAATGAAAAAAACATAGATCTTTTAGTCCAACTACTGAACACAATCTATTTCACAGGAATCATTCCACGTGAAATGCTGACATCAAAATTTATTTGTCTACCAAAGACAGTAAATGCCAAAGAATGTAGTGAATATGGAACGATCAGTCTAATGTCACATACCTAAAAACCTTGCTAAAAATTAGCCATAATAGAATACAGGCTAAGCTGGAGATGGATATTAGTGATTCCAAGTTTGGATTTCGGAATTAAGTGGGCACAATAGAGGCACTATTTTCTTTTAACGTGCTGACCCAAATATGTTTGAATGTTAATCGAGATCTTTATGTATCCTTTATAGACTACAATAAGGCATTCGATAAAGTAAACATGACCGCCTTATAGAAGTACTCAAAAACAAGAATCTGGTGTGAGGGATGTAATATTGATATCAAATTTATACTACAGCCAACGACCAAATGTGAAAATTGGAAGAGAAGTTTCGGAAGAAGTGGAGATAAGGAGAGAGGTCAGGCAAGGTTGCATATTGTCGCAGTTATTGTTTAATGCTTATTATGAAGAAATTATACAAGAAGATTTGGTAAACGAGACAGTCGGCATTAAAGTGAACGAAAGTTTAATTAACAACATTAGGCATGCCGACGATACAATCATAATAGCCGACAACTTGGAAGACTGAGAAAGAATAATGAACAAAATATTAAGATATAGTGGAAAATACGGACTCTCTCTTAAAATCAAAAAACCAAATTCATTAAAATTAGCAAGAACAACAATACAAACGAAATATCAACGGAAGGCGACCAGCAGATTAAGAGAGTAAAAAAATATACTTTCTTGGGAACGATAATCACAGAAAATAACGTTTATACTGCAAAAATAACAGTCAGAATTGAAAAAGCACGTTCCAACTTCGTGAAAATGAAAAAGATTTTATGCAGCAAAGATCTGACATTGGCCCTCAGAATAAGGATAATTAAATGCACAGTGTTAAGGAAAATTGTTAAGGATTCCATGGGTAGATAGAGTCACGAATACAGAAGTGTTAAGAAGAATAGGCAGAGAGAGGGAAATGGAAAATACAATAAAAGAAAGAAAATTGCAATATCTCGGACATGTGATGAAAGACTAAAGATATAACATCTTGAGACTCATAATTCAAGGAAAAATAGAGGGTAGGAGATGTAGAAAGAAGACGCGTTTCCTGGTTGAAGAACCTGAGAGAGTGGTTTGGTTGCAGCTCATGGCAATTGTTCAGAGCAGCTGCCTCGAAGGTCAGAATAGCAATGACGATTGCAAACCTTCGTCGCGGAGATGGCACTTAAAGAAGAAGAAGGAAGATGTTGAACAACGATTTACAAAAGCACCATTGAAAACCAGCTTAAAGGACAAACGCTAAAGGCGAACAACCATCTTGAGAAAGGTTCTGAAGAAAACAAACATCAAGAAGGTAAAGAGCGCGAGAAACTTGGACGAAAACAAGATTGGGGATAAGTCTAGAGAAAGAACAGCGACGACATATTATTAAATTATATATAATATATAATTAATTTAAGTATTGATCACACGGGGTGTAGGGTTGTGCTATAGAGGTAGTACCTTTTATTGAAACGACCACATCGAGCGTCATAGACGGGAGATGGTTCTAGATAACTGGTCCTCGTAAGACACCTAACTCTCACTTATGGCTCCACGTGCCATACCCTGGGCAACTGCATTGGTCTGCAGGCTAAACTAAGTGAGGGTAGCCAGATAAGGCGAAAAATTCACCGAGTTATTACCGAGTGATACGCTGATGAAGGGCAGCAGCGATCATCAGTACCAGCTCAAGGCGCAGAGGAAATGATCCTGGATCGGCTTGAAACTGGACTACCACAAGCATGACTGGAGCAGTTTGAATAGTTGTGGTACTGCGATGGGGAAGGCAACGGAAAACCACCTCATAAGAATTTCCTAGAATAGTTATCGAGGCAATACACTACGATAAAAAAAAAACATTACTGATCATTGATCACACTTTTGTTATTTAAATAAAATGGAGCAACAAAACTTAAAATTTATAACTTCTCTTTAAAGCAAAACGGAAAAGATTAAAAAAATCATTATGCATTAGCACTAAAGATTATCCACATAAGTCCACATAATCCACATATTTATCTAACAACATTATTTTGATCACTACTATAATGCTATAAAAATTTAGGTTTCTATTATTAACATACTGAGCAAGGATAAACACTTAGCAAGAGATATCCAGCAGATTAGCGTGGTAAAGATCATGTGGCTCTTGAGTTTTAACCTTGTTTAGGCTTGCGCCTCTTCAAGGAATGGGAAACTCCTTTTTTTTTGACGGAGTTGTGGGGGGTGTGAGAAAAACGTCAATTAATCGAAACGTGAGCTAAGAAGTAGAGAACTACTAAGGAAAGGAAGGAAAAGAAGGTGGTTATTTGTGTGATCGATAAGAATCGATAGAACGCACAAAAAGAAGTTGGAGTTGCCTAGCATGCAGTGTAAGGTACTTCAGGGGTTACCAGCCATACGGTAGGAACGGCTCTTTATTAGCGTTTTTGGCGCGCAGTTTATCTGCGAGAGTAGATGGGGAAAGTTTCAAGAATATCGAAATATGCATCAGGAAGTTCAGGTCCAGCGTTGTGTAGAAGTTTAGCTGGAGGGAATGGAACTTTCTTAGCGGGGTGCCTGGTGAGTATTTGCCCTCTATGCGAACAAGGTGTCTTTAGTGTTTGTTTTGCTCGGTTGTTCGAGCCAGCTATGGTTCTTAGGACATACTTCCTACTGAGGGTTAGGATTCTGTCCTTAATTGGAGTGATGTTAGTTAGTGCGTATATGTGGGTTGATAGACCACATTAATACTGTGAGGCTAATAATGGAACAATCGGTTGAATGGAACACACCCCTATACATGGTTTTTGTTGATTTCGAGCGTGCTTTTGACAGCTTATCTCATGATGCAATATGGAAAATTTTAGAGCTAAGAAACATCCCGCATAAAATAATTTCCATTATAAAGTTACTGTACACTGAAGCGAAATGCAGCGTGACACACAATGGGATCAACAGTGACGAATTTGACGTACTTACTGGAGTCAGACAGGGATGCGTGCTTTCTCCGTTTCTTTTTAACATAGCTCTAGACTATGTTCTCTCCAAACTAGACTCTGACACAAGAGGGATACAATGGACGTTAACCACACGCCTAAGCGATCTAGAATACGCCGACGATATCTGCCTGTTAGGACAAAGGTTCCAAGATGTGGCTGACCAATTGGAAACACTTTCCACTGAAGCCAATAAAATAGGTTTGAAAATCAATATTGGTAAAACCAAATCCATGAGAATAAATGCAAGAAACAACACGCTATTCACCATTAATAACATGCAGATTGAAAATGTGGAAAACTTTACGTATCTTGGAAGTGTCATAACAGAAAGCGGAGGTACAGAAGACGATATTCGTATGAGGATACAAAAAGCGCAACAAGCTTTCAGCATGCTCAACCCTGTTTGGAGGTCTGGAGAATACACTACGAGGACAAAGATCCGCATATTCCAGTCAAATGTCATGTCTGTACTACTTTACGGATGTGAAACCTGGAAAGCGACAAAAACCCTTACAGACAAACTGCAGGTCTTTGTTAATAAATGTCTACGAAGAATTGTTCGTATTTTCTGGCCTAACATCATCAGAAACGAAGACTTACTACACCTGACCAAACAAAAGAGGGTAGTAAATGAAATAAAGTCCAGAAAGTGGGGTTGGATCGGTCACACACTCCGAAAAAATAACTCCAGTATTGCAAAGACTGCCCTAGAGTGGAATCCCCAAGGAAAACGAAAAAAAGGTCGCCCAGTACAAACTTGGAGAAGATCCATCATGGACGAGATAAGAAAACAAGGAAAGTCTTTGAATGAGGTGAAGGCCTTAGCGCAAAATAGAACCCGATGGCGAGTTTTCACTGAAGCTCTATGCTCCACTTAGGAGTTCAAGAACCTTATATATATATAGTTAGTGCGTATATGTGGGTTGATGGATACATCCAATCTTTTCTCATACAGTAGCGCAGAATTCTACGCTCGGTGGCGGTGATGACGTTAAGTTCGTGGCTCTTCAGAGAAAGGTAAACGCATACCTTGTATTCGATTATCCGCCTGATAAAAGCCTTGTAAGTGTGCAACAATGTATTAGAGGACGTTCCTCCTAGCTTTTCGGTTAGCACTTTCAGGAGATTAAACCTCCTTCTCATCCTATCAAGGGATTCATGGAATCATGGACGTCAGTCTTCCAATTGAGAGTTCTCGTAAAACGAATTCCCAAGTAGAGAACTGAGTTCCTGAGAATAAGGTCCTCTCCCAAAAGTGTCACCCGGCCTTGAAGGTCGCGTCCGTAAGGAGGTCTGAACACTATAGCTTGAGTTTTGGAGGGGTTTAAGGTGACCTTCCATTTGTTGCACCACCTCACGACTCTATCAAGGTAGGCTTGCGATTTATCGAATACAGATCGTCGCTCTCCCTCTCTGTAAGAAGAGGTGAGAATGGCTGTATCATCAGCGAATAGGAGAAGAGACTCTGATCCTTGCCGTGGGCGGGGATGTCGCTATCGTAGACTGTGTATAATATTGGAGGAAGTATTGAGCCTTGGGGTACTCCCGCTTGTAGAGTGAAGGGAGCGGAGAGATGATCTCCTATTTTGATCCTAACCGTCCGATGGGAGAGATAGGAATTTATTAGTTTAACGAAAGGTGTTGGCAGTCCAGCAAGGTGGAGTTTCTCGATCAAGCCTGCGTGCCAGACTTGATCGAAAGCCTTCTGGACATCGAGGAAAATGCCTACGACGTGCTTCCTTTCGTTAATGGATTGCGAAATGAAAGTTGTTACTTCAATCAATGCATTTCGTGTGGAGTGTCCAGCCCTGAATCCAAATTGGTAATTTGGAATAAAGAAGTGAGCGTCTAGGAATTCTACGAGTCTCTCCTTGAAGATCCTCTCGTAGATTTTACCTAGGGTGCTTAGTAATGAAATTGGTCTGTACGATTCAGGGTTGGTGAGGGTTTTCCCTTTCTTAGGGATCATGACAGTGCTGGCCACCTTCCAAGGAATGGGAAAGCAGTTCAGCGCAAGAGATGCATTGATTACATTGGTGAGCAACGGGATGATATTCTGTGGAAGATTTTTGAGGCATCTTCTGTGGATGCCATCTGGGCCAGGAGAAGTGTTTTTTCCCATGTTACACATCTGCCTGACGGTTTCCTCAGTCAGTGGTGCCATCATCTGGTGAGGATGTGGTTCATCAAGTGGCTGAGGGTAGTAGAATATGTCTTCCACTCTCCGTTTAGTGGCTCTTTGGGATATTTCGTTGAAATTGGGGTTGTTGGGTGAAACGAGGGTGGCCTGCAATGTATTTTTGAAAGCTTCGGCCTTATCTTGTGGATTGTTTAGTAAGACGTTATTGATTTTGAGGTGAGATCGTGGCTGACTTTTTTTGTTTAGCACTTTGAGTTTGTTCCAGAATGAAGAGCCATCCCGGTAGTCAAGGTCAGAAGTGACTCACATCCACTGTTTCAGCTTGTTTACTTCGAGCCTTATGACCGAAGATCATGTATCAATCAAATGAACGGAATACTATGGGATAGACAGATTACCAGAAATAAAACAATATAATACACCTTGATACGCAGTGTAATGAATAACGGAACAGAGAATTGGGTAAAAAAAAACGAAACAGGTCCTAAACTACAGCTACCGAAATGGAGTAAAAGAGAAGAAGCTGTAGAGAAACAAGACTGGTTCTTATTAGAAATGAAGAAATTAAAAGAAGAATGGCAGTGAAACAAGACATACTAAACTATATTGAAGAGTCACGTTTCATTTGGTATGGACACGTGAGAAGAGAAAATCGTACAAATTGGACATCAAAGATTTTGTATTGGAACTTAATAGGAAACACAAAAAGAGGCAGACTCCAAAGATCATGGAGGGACAAGTGAACGTAGAGATGGAGAATGGTAGGATAGAATGGACTGAAGAAGTTGGATGAAAGAAAGAAGGCGGCGACAGTAGTAGTATAATTATATATTATATTTTATATTCTTAATATTATTTTACTTACTATTGTTAGTGTTGATATTGTTACGATAATTATGGCGTTTATAACTATCAATATATTATGACTAATTATGTTTTCTGTTCCAGTAAATTCGAAGTTGTTTACAGAAACCTTTACACCCTAATTTTATGAGTAATCCACGTCTCGAGGCTTTTCGAACAGTTGAAAAACGAGTCGAGCGCCTTCACCAAAATACGAGATTATTCAAGAAGTTCGCCGAATTTTCTAGATGACAACAGTTGTGTATATAAACAACACATTTTATTTTGTGGAGTCAGTCATAAGAAGATCGGGAAACGCGGTTTACTTGTAACGAAACGTAACAAATAAATTTGTATTTAATAAGCTATTTAATAAATTAGTAATTAGTTATCGTGAGTTTTAATAAATTAGAATATAGACAATAAATTAGAATAAAGACAAATAAATTAGAACAATATAAATGCTACAATCTTAAAAAACTTACTTGTGACACAAACCTGCTCGACTACTTTTGTCGGAATTGTTAGGGCCTTTATATTAAAATCATCATATCTTAAATATTCATAGATAAAGTTTACAACTTAATTGCGTCACGATCAGAGATTCATATTTCTGATCGTGGTTACTTTTTATTGTTAAAACTATTGCAATAAAACGCATTTATTGCCTTAACGTAAATATTCAAAGATAAATTGCACAATAAAATTAAGTTTAATTGTTTCAATAGTTTTTGTTTACGAGCGAAAATTTCTGACGCCAAGATTCATTACTCTCTTTGATTTTTTCAAATATGTTCAATATAAATTTTGGGGGCATCAATAGATTGAGGACCCTTAAGCTAGCGGGGACACATGAGCGGAATCCAATTTAACCTATGTAATATTTTTTCACCCATTTTTCACTAATTTATTACCACCCTAATAATTTTTCACCACCAAACCAACCTTAAGGAGAGCGATTCTGCTGGCTTAAGGTTCAAGCTAGCAGAATTAAAAAAAAACTTTTTGTTGGTGGCATATTTTTTCACCCATTTTCCACTAATTTATTACCACCCTAATAATTTTTCACCACCAAAACAATCTTCAGGAGAGCGATTCTGCTGGCTTAAGGTTCAAGCTAGCAGTTAGTTAAGTGTTAAGTTTTTACTAAACTTTGACCACCTCGTTAATTTTCCATCCCTAAACCAATCTTATTCGGAAACGTTCCTGCTAGTTTAATATTCGAACAAGCGAAATTAGAAAAAAAATATTTTAAGTAGGTATATTCAAATGAGACGGAAATTACCGATTGGTCAGAAGAACTGGTATATATTATTTACGTAGTAAAATAAATTTATATTAGCAGCATTTTAAAAACTTAAAGATATTTGTATTTTATTTCTTAGGTATATTCAAATGAGACGGAAATTACCGATTGGTCAGAAGAACTGGTATATATTATTTACGTAGTAAAATAAATTTATATTAGCAGCATTTTAAAAACTTAAAGATATTTGTATTTTATTTCTTTGTCGATTTTCCATTCATTGTCAGTTGAATATAGGTAAAAATTAAAGGGTATTACAAAAAAATACTAACCTCATTATTTTGTTTATGGAAATGTTTGAAAGAATCGTCCAAGGAGACATCTGGTTTCTCGTGACAATCCACACACTTATAAATTGGTTTTTTTCTTATTCTTAGGATAGGACATACTCTGCATTTTTTCGTTTTAGCTTCGCTTTTGTCCGATTTATTAGCAATTATTTATAGGTAAATGTTCGCGTGCGATATTACGTCTTTCTTTGCTTTTTTATAAATTAATTTACGAATTAATTCTAACCTTGATGCCGTCTTTTATGCCTTTATTGTTTAATATATAGTTTAAAGCTAAGTCAAACTTTCCATAGCACCATCGATTCATCTAGTGATAATTCTTTTACTGGATAATCCAGAGTAGTCATTTTATTATTAAATAGTATATGACTGTTCTTATGCTATAAAACCGATCTACACGAATAACATTAGTCTACTGGTCTTATTAGATTATGGATGAAGTGTAAGCACCTTAAAATTAAAAAAAAAGATCTCTGCCGAAGTTCTGCAAAAAATATTTTAAGTTGAATAGTGGATATGTTTTCCAATAACCCTCCAATCTTGAAATCCGTATGTGTCAGTGTGAAAGATAATTCCTAAAAATACTGGAAATTCAAAAAGGAAAGTAATTTACATCTTTAAATGCTAACATTTTCACAAACACCAACTTCACCAACTTTTTTATATGCTAAACATTACAATATTTTTATTTTGTACATTGCATATTTTTTAACAAAATTTTTCAACTTACTATGCTAGGGTTGTAATAAATTTGTAAAAATCTAGCAGAACACTGTGGTATATCATAAATATTTTTTTTTAAATTCTGCTAACTTGAACCGTAAGCCAGCAGAATCGCTCCCCTTAGGGGTGGTTTAATGGTGAAAAAATATTAGGGTAGTAAAAAATTGTGAAAAATGGGTGAAAACATATGCCATCAACAAAAAGTTTTTTTTTTGAATTCTGCTAGCTTGAAACTTAAGCCAGCAGAATCGCTCTCCTTAAGGTTGGTTTGGTGGTGAAAAATTATTAGGGTGGTAATAAATTAGTGAAAAATGGGTGAAAAAATGTTACGTAGGTTAAATTGGATTCCGCTCATGTGTCCCCGCTAGCTTAAGGGTCCTAATAGATTGCCGATATCTTGATTGCAATAAAGCTTTGAGGAATCCCTACTGCGATCTACTTATTCTTGTAGACACAGTCTAACATAACTACTATATATCCAGTGCACTGGATATATGACGCCGACGTATAGATGAGCATTATATAACAGATAAGAAAATATAAAGAAGAGTTTCCAGCTCCCTAAAGAGAAAATTGAACAAATTGGCTAAAGGGACAATCTCATCAGAAAAATTAGGTAAGATGGTCATCCTGTCCGATGGAAATGTGCTGAAAAGATAAGCTACCACTTCGGTTGTAAGCGTTATCGGAAAAAAAAGTCACACTTCTTCTTCTTCTTCAAGTTCCACTCCTATCGGAGATTGGAAATCATTCTGGCAATTATAATTTTATTGGTTACTCGCCTAAATAGTTCAATTGAACTGCATCCAAACCATTCACGGAGATTGTGTAGCCACGAGATTTTACGTCTTCCTACGCTTCTTCTACCTTTGATTTTACCCTGCATTATATTCCTTAGTAGTTCACACTTTTCACCTCTCATGATGTGCCCCAAGTATTCCAATTTCCTGATTTTTATGGAATTTAAAACTTCGCATTGTTTTCCTAGTTGTTCGAGAACTTGTTCGCTTGTTTTGCGATCCATCCATGATATTTTCAAAATACGTCGGTAACACCACATTTCGAATGCTTCTAGGTTTTTAATGTTGGATTTTTTAAGTGTCCAAGCTTCAACTCCATACAAAAGGGTAGAGAAAATATAACATCGAAGCATTCTTATCCGGAGCGATATATTGATATCGCGATTACAAAAAAGTTTTCTCATTCTATTAAAAGTTGACCGCGCAATTTCAATGCGGCATCTTATTTCTTTTGTCTGATCAGTATCTTCTGTGATCCATGCTCCAAGGTATTTGTACGAAGATATTTGTTCAATTTCTGTATTATCTAGTACTAGCTTAACTTTGATGTTTTGTGCTTTTGTAAATACCATGAACTTGGTTTTCTTCAAATTGATTTTTAGTCCATAATCGTTGCAATATATCTTTAGTTGTTCAGCTAGGTGTTGCAGTTCTTCTAGTGTTCCTGCCAGAAGGACGGTGTCGGCATATCTTATGTTATTAAGTGGCTCACCGTTTATTATAAGGCCCTCACTGATCTCGGCAAGCGCTAATTCTGAGATGGCTTCACTGTATAAATTGAATAACAAGGGTGATAAAATACACCCTTGGCGGACCCCACGGCGAATCTGGATATCCTTGATCAGTTTGTTTTCAACTTTCACTTTTGCTGTTTGATTCCAATAGAGGTTACAGATGATTCTAATGTTTCTACTGTCTATGTTTTTATTTAATAAAATTTCTTTAAGTCGATTATGCTGCATTCTGTCAAATGCCTTCTCAAAATCAATGAAACAGGCATATACTTCCTGATTAATATCTAAGCATCTCTGCAGCTCGTTGCACTTGCAGCACTTGTATTTCGCTATTAGAGTTATGACTGTAAGAAGATGATCCGCTGTACTGTAACCCTTTCAGAATCCTGCCTGTTCTACCGGTTGATAGCTATTGAGCTTCGATGTTATTCTTTTAATTATTACTTTCATAAACAGTTTGTACATTTGGGATAGAAGGGAGATTGGCTTTCAGTTTTTCAGATCTCCCCTGTCTTCATTTTTGAAGAGAAGTATTGTCAAACTTTCATTCCAATCATCTGAAACTTCTCCTCTGTGAAAACATTCGTTGAATTTTTTTTTCAATTCTTCGAGAATAATTTCACTCCCCTCCTTCAACATTTCTACAAGTATATATAAATTAGAATATATAAATTAGACCGAGGAAATTGAAATTTGACGTGGGGAAGGCAGGGATGAGTATTCTAGCCAATTCCTTTTAATGCTTTCTGGAACGGGATCCGGAAAAAGCTCTTGAGGGCGATACAACTGAAATAAAGGTAACTGGAGATCCCATTTACAACATTACATTTGTTTTTGTACAACTGCGAGGTACTGGATCATAGGAGACAAGCAATACATGGAAACTTCAGAAAAAGTCCAAATACATATTGCACTCACGCAAAAGACCTCTACAAACTGGTGTAGGGTAAAAACATTTAAGAATGAATGTTTTAAAAAATATGGAATTTAGGCATAACAAGCCTAAAGACTGGAGTGATTCCAGATAATGCGTTCAAACAGATTCCCAAGAAAAAAAATAGTGGTATGTATATTATATTCCGTGTTTTATCTATTAATATTTTCACCATTAGCACTGAATACAATCATGAAAAAATAATTAAACAATAATAAAGAACACTTTATACATTTATAGAAGTACTAGATAGTACTAGTACTTAAAATATATTGATAAGATATTTTTATTAGAAAATATAAGATAATACATTAAACTGTTAGTAGACCAGGTACCTTCGTTACAGGTAAGTACAATTTTCAGATTTTATTAATACGTACATATACACAGTCTAAATGTCCAATCTAGACAGTGGAAACAAAAAACGAAGTAAAGATAATAGAAGCCTTTAAACCTTTCTACATATGAAGCACAATAAGGGTTTTAGGGACCACGAGATTCATGAACGACAAACTATTAAAACAACTGCAAAACTGTAGTAGGTGTTAAATAAAAATACTGTTCATAATCGCTTGGAATAGTATAACAATATATAGACAAAGAAGCGAAATCATGAGAAAAATATTCAAGTTCAATTATTAAAACAGTTATAAAAAAAGAAAGTTAAATCAAGAAATTATCAGAATGAAAGATAGAAGAAGTACTTCAAGAATCGTAAAGGTTAGGGACGTCAGAGGATGGGTTATCCCGGAAAGGGATGCTTTAAGAATGAAAGACATAATTGTATAAATATAAAATAGACAATTTTATTATAAGCAAGAAGGGAAAGTAATACCACATATTCTGGGACAAATTTCTAGATGTAAAAAATATTAATTTTAAAAGTTATGAAAGTGATTATGATGTATGAAGTACTTTAAATAACTACTTATTTATAGTGTCAATATAGGTGTAGCTTTGACGATTCCTAATCTTCAGAACTTCTTCTTCCTCTTCGTTTCTTTTTTAGGGTTCGCTATTCCTTATTTTTCGTCGCCACTTATTTCTTTCCATCGTGCCCTTCTCCACTTAGTTTTTCGATTTTTACTTTGGTTTTCCTTTAACTCTATTTCTGTCTAATTTTAACAGCTCTATTCTTATTTCCAATAAGTCTTATTTCTACGAATGTCTGATGTGACCAAAACATTGCAGTCTATCTTCTAGAATTTTTTTTGACACGTTAGCCACGCGGTTCTTTCCATAATCAGGTCGTTCCTGATCTTGTCCCTTTTAGTTTTACTCAACATCCGCCATAACATTTTCGTTTCAGTTACCCACATCTTATTTTCCTGAACCTTCTTTACAGGCGATACTCTTTTCCTTTCAGCCAATTTTAATTTTTCAGTCATCGAGTACCTCGTTCATACAGGCAAGGTATTTAAATTCCTCTACTTGTCCTAGTTTTCTCCCAAGCAATGTAAAGTCTCCAACCATTTCTGTTTCTTCCAACTACATAAACTCCATTTTCAACTTCCTAGCCTCAAGCCACCCTCTTCAATATCGCTTTTCTAACCCTCCAATTCTTCTCCAACATTTCGCTCCTCTCCTAAGATGATATCATCTGCAAATAGCATTAAGCAAAGAGCCCCTCCCTTACCTTCTCTAGCAGTGGAACTTTCGGTCAAACCGACACAAGTCCTAACTTTAGTGTACCCTTGCTCATAAATATCCCTCACAAGCCTTAACTCTTTTATAAGAACTATCTCATAAGCCTTCTCAAGATCTATAAGTACCAATTATAGTTTCTTTTTTAGCCGTATTTCTCTAAAAGTAAACAAACAATCTGTTGTCCCCCTTCCTGGCTTAAACCCAAATTGTTCTCCTATCGATATCTCCTTCCTTAACTTGCGCTCTACCGTTCTCCCCAACTTTTCATTGTGTGCGACATTAACAGTTTTAAATATCCCCTATATCTTTATGCGCTGGTAACCATCGGGCCCTCCCACCATGCATTGGGTTCTTAGCTCTTTTAAAGCTCTATCTATTTCGAATCCCACTATATTTGGTAGCTTACCTCTGATCCCACGCTTTCTATTTTTCTTTTAAAGTTCCACTTTTTTATGTAGCGTTTTAGCTCTTTTCTGTTTAACTGTTTTATTAAGTTGTACGTATGCTTGAGTACAGCGTTTGTTTTATCATCAGTTGTCTTCTTTTCTTCATTAGTTATTATTTTATTGTCATGAATGTGTTGCTTGTGTGAGTCCATTTCAAATAGGTAAAGAAATAATAAATAAGACTTACTCACAATCAATTTAATTTAACTATCAGACGACCGGTTTCGCTTTCTACAATATGCAAAGCACCTTCAGGTCTCGATACAAAGTTAAATAAATGCTGAAATGATAAAAACCCATATTAGGGTGTTGTCTAATAAAGATAAACAAATTAAATGTTGTAAATCACAATAATTATGCCAATATTACATGTCTGTGGTTTTATTTCAAAATGAGTAAGTTGAATAAAAAGGTATAAAAAGTTTTAAAAGTTTAAACAGACAAGGTAAGGCATACAAATTGTTATAAAATAGTCTATTAGATTATAATAAATTAATAAATGGGCAAATAAATAAACATTAACAATCGTAAAATAGTTTCGAAACACAATTCAGATTTCTGCTTTATAATCTGAGCCTTCTAAAAATTGCAAGGCAAACAGACGTTGATAAAAGACGTTAAAAGAGACATGGGGAATCTAAAATTTGCATTCCACGACATGTCTTTTACAACTAAGCAGAAATCCTTAGCGAATTGTGCTTCTAGTACTCACACAGAGTAAATCCGAATAAAATGAAGAAAGGCAGCAAATATTTGATTTCACGCAAACAAATCCTATGTATCTCTTGATACGTATTTCGACCTAATAGGTCTCGTCAGAAGAGCTATTCATAGGAGTCTATCTGAGTTCTGAAATAAATTAGGACTCCTATGAATAGCTCTTTTGACGAGACCTATTAGGTCGAAATACGTATCAAGAGATACATAGGATTTGTTTGCGTGAAATCAAATATTTGCTGCGTTTCTTCATTCAAATAAACATTACTTACATGCCGGTACTCTATTAATTGATGGATGGTAGAACATGGTTGAAACTACTATGTATTGGTGAATGGAGAACTCAATTTTGCTATTGTAGTTGTTTGACAGTAAACGGGAAGTTCTTGAGGAAATAGATTTGATCCAATGAAGCAGATATATGTGTGTGATTGTTTGTTAAATGAAAGTGATGTTATATACCATTGTATTATTTAAAAAAATATTTATATTTATATTTAATAGCAAAATTGAGTTCTGCATTCAACAATACATAGTAGTTTCAACCATGTTCTACCATCCATCAATTAATAGAGTACCGGCATGTAAGTAATGTTTATTTATTTGCTCATTTATTAATTTATTACAATCTAATAGACTATTTTATAACAATTTGTGGGCCTTACCTTGTCTGTTTAAACTTTGTATACCTTTTTATTCAACTTACTCATTTTGAAATAAAACCACAGACATGTAATATTGGCATAATGATTGTAATTTACAACATCTAATTTGTTTATCTTTATTAGACAACACCCTAATATGGGTTTTTATCATTTCAGCATTTATTTAATTTTGTATCGAGACCTGAAGATGCTTTGCATATTGTAGAAAGCGAAACCGGTCGTCTGATAGTTAAATTAAATTGATTGTGAGTAAGTCTTATTTATTATTTCTTTACCTATTTTATTGTCCTTTCGGAATTCCTCTCTATTTGTTGTTATTTTCTGGCATCTATTCTCGTTGTTTTTTTAAAGATCCCTTTTCTTTGTTCTTTCATGTTAATGTTTACTCTCTAACTATAGTATGTTCATTACCAGTTGTTATGTTGTTTATTCTTGTGACGACTTGAAATATTCTTTTGTGGTTTGAGAGAAAATAGTCTATTTTATTTTTGGTAGCCCCGTTAGGTGCGATCCATGTTCACTCTCTGTTAGGTTTCTTTTTGTAAAAAGTATAAATTTATTCATTTTTTTTTTGTTCCAGGAATTCCATAAGTTTTTTCCTCTTCTATTTCTTGTGGCAAATCCGAAATTTCCTCTCTTGTTTTTAAAGAATCTTTCTTTCAATTTTGGCAATTATTTAAGATTATTTGTTGTTGTCTATAGCTTTTTAAAGTCTTTGTTGCTTTTTTCGTTTAAGTGTAAACCTGCACAATCTTTAATCTGGTTCGTGAATTTCGTTTTAAGATCATGTATGTAACCCTGTCCAAGATGCTATGACTTATTTTGAATTTGAGATTTTCTCTTAGTGTAAAATAAGAAACTTACTTCACTGTATGCAAAGTCTTCCTTACCCCTGTAGTAGAACCTGTGGCCTGAATGTAAGTCTACATACCCCTCACCTCTTCTTTTAACATCTGATAATCCCACTATGTTCCAATTCATGTTATCCATTTTCTCTTGTAGAGTTTTTCATCTTTTGCCATGGAACGTATGTTGTATGTTGCTATATGGAGTTGTTTGTTGTTATCTTCTTCTTAAATGTCGACTTACTCCCGCAGAATCCTAGGGACAGACCTTTACTGAGGTGTAGGATTGTGGAATTAAATTCCCACACACCTGGAATACCTCTGTTAAAATAGACATTTTAGTTTTCTAGAGGTTTTGGCCATATATCACCACGTTGGCCAGATGGTTTGGAGTGGTAGATCATTTGCCACATATTAAATAACTGGAATTTCCCATACCATAAAATTAAAGACAGAAATAGATATTGATCTATCGCTTATAAAGGATATGTCAAGAATATTTTTTATTTTGAACGAACGTTTTCTGTTATCGTTTTTAAACGACCTTCAGACACAATAACTTCAAAATCAATCCTTTCTAGGTAAAGTACCTACCTCTTGAATTTCCCCAATAATTATGTTGGGTATCTATTTAAATTTATTTTAAACTTGAATTTAAATTTATCTGTTATTTTTGTTCTTTTAAGTTTTTATATCAGTTCGTAATTGAATTTGATAATTGATTTTTACCTCTTTCAGATTTTTTGTAAAAATCAACATTAAATAAATAAAATTCTTTAATTATACACATTCCGCTTTTTTAGAAAGTAATACTGCTTATTTGTTAATAAGGTACATACAAAACAAAAATCTGAATGTTATTGCAGAAGATGTTCTAAATGCCCACCGCGAACATCTTGGGCACATTCTAATTTTAATTAAAAGTTTCTTCCAAGGTGTGGACAATCTTAGGTGTGACCAATCTAATCACAAGTGTCATTCGTCTTCTAAGTCAGCTTAGTCGAGAGATTTAGTTTTGTATGCAATACTTTATTAATAATCGCATAAAATGAAATCTAATTACGTCAGATGATGGGATCTTGCTGGTCATTCCTTCGATTCTCGCCTCTTCTTCCATTATGCTGGACATAAACGGTTCAAATACTATTGGACATTAATTTATTAGCTGAAATTTGTGAATCTGCTGGATCAGGATATAAGTTTGTCAAAGATAGATAGTACTGTTAGAAAAAATTATAAAAACATGTAAAATAGCCAACTGAACAGTTGGCTCTCTTTAACAATAGAACTAGGTTGTCCTCATTTTTAGCAGAGAAGATGTATGGTCACTTCATGTGAGATTTTATAACATCGACCTCGTGTCGTTATATCATGACTATTTACCATGATTGACATGTAATCAAAAGGTTTTTACACTTTATTATTTAGCTAGTTTCAACTATTTTTAAATGTTTACCAATGATGGTACCGATGGTCCCAAAAACGTCTTTACTTCCCTGTAAGTTTTTTTTAAGCTATGGTGTAGAGCCAACCACTAAGATTTTCTTCTTTTACTTTATAAATTTTTTTGTTGTTACGCGTCGAAAATAGTGTCAAAGTACCTTTTTCTATACTCTTAATTTTACGAGAGATGTGTTTTATAGTGCTTAAAATTACTTCCGTTGCCAAGGCAGTACGCTCCTGTGCTTGTTTATAATCTTGAACAGGCTTTGTACCGCTTCCCGCTGCACAAAAACAATTACATTTGCTATTATCTTCCTCTTTTGTCCAAACAAGTCTTTGTTTGTTTATATTATCAATACCAAGTTTCAAGCTATTTTTGATAATAGAATAAGTCTAACAGTTTCTCGATGCTATCGTTGACTATGTTTTCATCATGCTATTCTACTACTTTATCATTATTGTTTTTACAAGCGCTCATTGCATTTATAAAATCTACTGAGAATACAGTGGATTCCTCGACAAATCCGTTTCAACTCCCAGAGCAGTAACTCAGTTTTTTTTTAAAAGTATGTTTGAATTAAAAAATGTATTTACAAGAAGAAACATTTATTTATAAATAACAAAATAAGTAAATATTCTATAACAACATAATAAAAGAAAAGTTCTTCGCTTTTTTCGTCACGCTTTGGTCATTTTGACTTGCAAATCGTTTAAAAAAACTGTCCAAGAAGGTTTCTTTTTTCCTTCCTATTAGAATATTTCGGAAATGAGTTAGAAAAGTTTCGTTGAACAACTCCAATGCACGACCAATTTTTCGGGATGATTTTTATTCACGAACTCTACAATTTTCTCTAGCATTCCTAAGATCTCCTTTATATCTCTGGTAGAGATAACCTCCTCCATCTCTGGCTCCCTTTTAAAATCAATTTTTTGTTGAACCACCGCATGCTGCTGCGAATGTAGATCATGTAATTCCTCGGTTGTCAGCTCATGAGACTGTTTCACTCTCTCTCATCCACCTACAGACCCATGAATTTTCCCCGAAAAAACAATATTTTTTACCACTAACATTTCATGTTCCAATCATTCAAAGGTCCTTTTAAGCAACAGCCTTCAGCTTCTTCCGTGCGAAGGTTATTGTCCTCGTTATAACACCCAGTCAGGCCTGATCAATAATTAATTGTCCTCAAATCATCGCCAAAAATGTGCTTGGTATATAACTTCTTTAAATTGGAAATTTGTTGCTGATCTATAGGCTGTAGGATAGAAGTATGTTGGGTGGTAGGTAGAGAACCTTTATAAACTTGAAGTCTCCCAGTAAATCATCTTCGAGATTTGGTGGGTGAGTAGGGGAATTATCAAGGACAAAAGGCTTGGCGTGGGTAGGTTGTTTTCTTGTAGATGTTTTTTAACAAAAGGGCCAAATATTAGGTTTATCCACTTCACAAAGAATTTTCTGGTGATCCACGTCTTTGAATTTGCCCCCTACATAACTTTCAGTTTTTATTTAATGATTTTTCGAATGTTATAATCATTGCACTTACATTTGCGCAAATTACTAGAATTAATCTATACTTTGTTGGTTTGTAACCTGGCATCGTCTTTTTCTCTGCCATTTTTTTTTGGACCTATTCTCTATCCTTTCATTGTTGGATATAGGTCTCCTCCAGTTCTCTCCATCTTTCCCTATCTTGAGCTGTTCTCTGCCATGTGGGACCTCCTTGTTTTCTGATGTCATCTTTCCACCTCATCTGTGGTCTGCCTCTTGATCTCTTTGCATTGTATGGACGCCACTTTCCGATGGCATTGTTCCATCGTCCGTCTTGGAGACGTTCATTGTGTCCAGCCCATTTCCATTTCAGTTTTGCTGCTTGTTCTATCGCGTCTACTGTCTTTGTTCTGGTTCTGATCCACTGGTTACGTTTTCTATCTCTAAGTGATACTCCCAACATTTGTCTCTCCATCGCTCTTTGTGCCTTCCTTATCCTATCCAAATTGGCCTGTGTAAATCTCGTAAATGCTTCGTAAGTAAGCTCTCTGCCATTATTAAAGTCCTATTCAGCAGCTTTTGACAGCTCAACTGAAGACATGCTAAGGAATGTATCTTTTGGCTTATATCAGTTTGGCAAACGTTTTGATGTAAACCTCAGCTGCTTTACATCCGAACTTGCTGGTTCACTATGCCTGACGACAAAGTGAATGGCGGTTCTTTTTTTTTAAGTTGTCAAACCAGCTCCGCCTGGCTTTAAGCGCTTTTTCCGATTCTTCGTTTGTAAAAATGCGTGTAATCTATTTCATCCAATTACGCCTTGTGTTTTTATAAGCCCCTACAGAATGCAATTATCGAGGCCAGATAGGCCCTGATTTGTCAAAGAGCTGTTATTTCTCTATTCTTCTCTGGGATCAGCTACATCGGATATAGAGCTACTCAATTCTACAAACAACGCAGTCAGGGTTTTATTAATTACAATAAATTAATAAAATTAAAAATGTTTCCAATTGAACTTATTTGTTTTAGATTCAGAATGGTACCACTTATATTACTTTCATTAGTTAGTTTAACATGGGCTCTTCCTGATGTTCTTTTGGGTCCTGATCTGCTTCTCGAGACAAATTTAGAACCTAAACAAGATATACCTGACAGTGACTATCGTTTATCTGAAACAACAGTGCCGTCCAAATACGACCTACTTTTGAATGTCCCAAGAGAATGTTTTGAAGGAAAAAGTAAAACTTACAGTGGGATCGTTAGCGTAATCTTTTCTGTTTCTGAACCTAAAAACACAATATTGATAAATTCTTTAGTTAATATTTCAAGCATTACAGCTACTGAGTACAAAAGTGGCCAGAGTGTAGAAGTTGGTGGATTTTATCCCAATTCAACTACGCAAATAGTGGAAATACAATTTGCAAATAATTTAATTGTTGATGTTGATTATGAATTACAAATAAATTTTACTAGTCAATTGATAAATCTGATAGGATTTTATACGAACGAATATTTGGCTGACGGAGCTACTGAATATCTTGCTACGACACAATTTGAACCAAACTATGCTAGACTGGCATTTCCTTGTTTTGATGAACCCCAATATAAGGCAATTTTCACTTTAACTCTTATCCATCCATCTGACTTCCTTGCTGCTGCCAACACTCCTATTGCTGATGCACAAAAGAAGTAAGTATTAAGTTTTTTCTTATTTATTTTATAGTTTTAGTGAATTTAAGTATGTATAGTCTCATCCAAATAGTAGTTTAAATTTGATGTAAATACAGAAAAGTAAGATAGTGTCAACACATGTCATTTTGTTGTTAGCAACAACTAACAGATTCACGGAGGAGGCATAGCTCGCAAAAAAGGAAAAAAATATAATACAATAAGATGGAACGCAATCGTATATGTATACGTATTTGTGACTATTGATGGTCTTCAGTAAGGTGTAGATAAGTAAGAAAAGAAGCACTTGGGAATGGATCACTACAGGAGCAACAAAACTGGGAGTGAGAGCATTTTGCGTATCTCAACGGATAGTACCCAGTCAGGTAATTTTTGTTAGAATTGCAACAAATAAGAAATGGCAAGAAAGAAACTCTGTATTTCGGGAAACATTTATGCTAATATTACACAATAGTTTGACACTGTATTTTATTAAATATAGTCCTTTTCCATCATATTGATAGCACATTATGTATGCAAATCCTCAACAGGTCAAAAAACCATAGGCGTCACCCCATACTTGTTTTGAAATAAATAAAAAAATTGATATTTTAAGATGCCGTCAACAATTCATTATCTTTTAAAAAATCTTCTGTAAAATAAGTGTCCACTAATCTCACTATATCTTTTTTGTGCGTAAAAAACGTCGGTATATATGCCACACGATTATTGTTAATTATACATGGGTGATTAACGAGATCAATGCCCTTATTTTTCCCATTGCTACATATGCAGCTGAAACTTGGACTCTCAAAAAAATCGATAGGAGTAAGATCGAAGCCTTCGAAATGTGGGTATATAGAAGAATTCAGAAGACAGAACATAGAACCAACCTGTCAATTCTGGAAGAGCTTCATATAAAAGACAGGCTACTAAAAAAAGTAAACCAAGCATACCTAACTTACTTCGGCCACATAGCTAGAAGAACAGGCACCATGGAACTATTGGTAGTAGAAGGTAAGGTAGAAGGCCGAAGACCAAGAGGAAGATCTCCAATACGATGGGTGGACCAAATGAAGAGTTTGGTGGGAAAATCCCTACATGAAGCCGTCCATATGGCACAAGATCGCAGTCAATGGAGACAGCAGACTAATAATATTTAGGGTGTCACTACGCCCTGACAAGGGCTAAAGGATTGAGGAGGAGGATGATTAACGAGAGAATTTAATGTTTCACGAAATAAATTAATGTAAACTTACGAAAGTAATTTAAAGGTGATTATTGTTTTCTATACAAGTTATCGCCTGACACAAAAAGAATACCTTTTTTGAACGATTACCTGGAATTACTGATAATGCTTCACTAATGATAGTTTAAGTAGTTTTTATGCCATATTACAGCTTATGCCAATAATATAAATTGGAAATTGTTTGCATCTTCCATTTAGTTTGTAGATGTACATTGTTCATGTCTTACCTACCTACATTTTTGGTGTCGATATTTTGTTATTTGCATTTAAAAATGACGTCGACAACAGGTTTTATCCCGGTTAAGTGTAGTTTTAAAGGTTCCTTCAGTCTAAGAGAGAAAAATATAATATTAAATGTACACTATGCACTTGTACATCAACGCCCTTTAAGTAATGTTCGTGAAATCGTTAACATGTGTTCAAATATAACAGGGGTTGGAGAAGCAGCAATTTATAGATTCCTAAAAGAAAGAAAAGGAGGAACTATTTCGTCTCCCAAGAAGAGTGGAGGGAGTAAACCCTTGGAAATTGAAGAAATGCATAAAAACATGATAAGACGCAGTGTTCACTCATTTTTTTTTAACAAAGAATTTCCAACATTGGACAAAATCCAAACATTAATTAGAGAAAACGAAGAGTTACCAATCATAAGCAACAAGAAAGGTAACTATTGAGACAGATGGGATTTCGTTGGCAAAAGAATAGAAGAAAATCCGTTTTAATTGAAAAAGATTACATTATATGTTGGAGATGAGATTATCTAAAAACTATTAAAAAGTACCGAGAAGAAGGGAAAACAATTTTTTATTTGGACGAGACTTGGCTAAATGATGGTCATACTGTACCATATCTATGAGTTGATACAAATGTGAAAAGTTCCCGTCAGGCATTCATCGAAGGTGTATCTACTGGATTAACAATATTCCCGTTGGAAAAGGACGCAGACTTATAATAACCCATATTGGAAACAAATACGGTTTTGTCAATGGTGGATTATTAGGTTTTGCCTCAAAATCAACCAAAGATTACCAAGAGGAAATGACTGCTGACGTTTTGAATAATATTTTAAGCAAATGTTGGATTTAATTCCAAAAAAATCTATCATAGTCATGGACAATGCTAGTTACCATTCAAGACTAGTAGAAAAATTGCCAACAACGGCATGGAAAAAAGGAGAGATAACCGAATGGTTGGATAAACACGCAATTGAGTACAAGGAGAATTCGACAAAGAAGGAATTATTACCTATTGTAAGGCAACATAAAACAGCTTATAAAAAATATATAATTGATGAATAGGCATTAAACCGTGATGTAATTAGTTTACGTTTATCCCCATACCACTGTGATCTGAATCCGATAGAAAATATATGGTCTCAAGTAAAGGGCGAAGTCGGACGCAATAACAAAACTTTTAAATTAGAAGACTTAAAACAATTATTAGAACCTTCCTTATCAAAAGTAACACCAGAAAATTGGAAAAATGCTGTTAGTCATGCTCACAAGGAAGAAAATAAAAAGTGGAATTTGGATAATATGACTGAAGCAATGCTGGAACCGGTAATAATTAACATTGGAGTTAAAGATTCCTTAGATTGTGAAGAAAGCAGTGAATCTGAAATGGAATTTGATTAAAATAATATTCATTTTTTACAAATCGGCCCCTGTTACGGCCACAAATTATTTTATATATAACCAATAAAATAAATATCTTACATTTCTCGCCAATTCATTAGTACCTGTTAATCTCCATCACTCCGACACTGGCAACTTTATTTAGGGATTAGTAACCCTCAAAACTATTGTATTCTATTCTGCTTCAACCTTTATAACTGGTGGTCATACTCAATTTAAAATTGTTTTCCTATATACTTCTGTAAACTTGTTGACAAATATCTATTTTTTATTGAGTCACCCGTATCAACAGTTTAGGGCTTTGCATACATAATGTGCTATCAATATGATGGAAATGGACTATAGCATGTTAAACACTGACTGCTGTAATAAGTTTTTGTTATGAGCGAGGTAGCTGTCTTAGCCTTCGTTTTGGTATGATTATCTTATTTTGTTATTAAATTGTTTTCTTGCATTCTATTTTCAAAATGTTTATAATAATAATAACTTCTTTTAGCGATGAGACAAGTATGACAACAACTGTTTTTGAAGATACACCTATAATGTCCCCCTATCTATTATCATTTACCATATCAAAATATAACTGTTCGACCACCACCGACAGTGCCATTGTTCATGAAGTTTGTACAAGAAGAGATTTTGCTTCCCAAAGAGAATTAGCTTTAGAATATGGAGTAAAGTTCTTAAACGCCTTAGGAACATGGACACAGCTCCCATATGAAACTTTGGGTATTAGTAAAATGGATCAATACAGTTTCCCGACTTTCGGTGCTGGAGCAATGGAAAATTGGGGAATGGTGACCTATCAGTAAGAATTTCGTTTTATAAATATTTACAATGAGGACTGTACAGGGTAATCAACTTTTTTGATAAAGTCTGTATATGTTATTATGGAATATACCAAAAAAAGTTATTTACAAAAATAAAAGGTGACCCTAAGCTTTAGCTTTTAAAATTAGTTACAAAGATACAGGGTCTTCCATAACACTGTATAATATGTTTTTTTATGAAATACCCTTTATTTTTTTTAATTCAAAATTCTAAGTGTTAATACAGACTTTATAATGAAATTAGTATATTTGTATATTTGACATTAGTATATTTGAAAAAAAATTGAATTATCAAGATAAAAATTTTGACATATTTTCAAATTTCAAAAATAGCTGTTCCATGAAAAATTTATAAATGATAAAGCTTTATTTATCGAACACTTTAGAAATTTTAAACAGTACTTAAGAAATTTAAATGATCGAAATTTAAATACATATGCAAAACGTAACTTGATACCAAATTGTTTATTAAATGAACTGAAAAAATTAACAAAACTCTCTCAACGTTTTGTTAATCTATCTGTAGGGAAAAGCATTATCGTGAGGTTAGAGACGAAATGCCATACATTTTTTCTAGAAGCATTCATTTTTAGAGTTTTATTTTTATTATCACCGATAATAAACAGGTGAAATTCAATCCAAATTTATTTATTTATTGTATTTAATTAACAGTTTTATAATAGTTGTATATTGATTTGTAGAGAATATGCACTTCTATATAGTGCCCAAGACACCTCCAACCGTGACAAACAAGAGGTTCTCATTACAATCGCCCATGAATTTTCTCATATGTGGTTTGGAGATTACGTAACAACAAAATGGTGGAATAGTGTGTTCTTAAACGAAGGTTTTGCTGCATATTTTCAATATTTTATATTTAATCAGGTATGGTATAATTAAACATATACTAAATATAGAGAATACCATTTCGTTTGTAACAAAAAGTTAGGACCTAGAATAGATAATTAAAAAATCGAAGTAGCGGCTCAAAAGCTGATCAAACTAAAATACGACAGAAGGCAGATGCGTATAGAGAAGTCTTAAGAGAAGAATTTGTAGAACATTATCAACAAGAATATTCCGACATAAACACAATTAATAAAGAAATGCAACGAAAACTCTTGAAAGCAGGACTGACTGCTACAAAGAAAACGAAAAATAAAGAAGACAGAATAAGTGGTGGAACAAAATGGTTGATGGAAAAGAGACGCATATTTCTAAGCGAAGGAAAGCGAAACACCAATGGTTTCAAAGAATTGAATAAACAAATAAAGAAGGGAGTAAAGGAAGATTTAAAGATTTATAATTAAAACAAGGTAGAAAAAATAATAGAAAAGAACCGAGGCTTGAAATGCTTAAGATCAAACTTAGGAAAGCCTATAATAATCTCATTGAAGTATAAAGATGGAAAAAAAAAGAGAAAGAACGAAATTATAAAAGTTACTCAAACATTTTACCGTGATTTATATTCCTCAAACAAGAACCTAGATAACACTGCAATGAAAGATCTTAAGAGAAAGATAACGAATGTCAACTAAGACATACTCCCTAACATAGAATCCTTCGAAATAAAACAAGCTATGGCACAACTAAAGAACAGTAAGGCTCCGGGCCCAGATGTTAAAGCTCTTAGAAATGTTGAAGGAGGCAAGTGAAATTATTATCGAAGAATTGAAAATTTTTTTCAACGAATGTCATCACAGAGGAGAAGTCCCAGATGATTTGAATGAAAGATTAACAATACTTCTCTTTAAAAAGGGAGACAGGAGAGATCTGAAGAACTATAGGTCAATCTTATTAATATATCAGAAACTGTTCATGTTATAACTTTGGGAGAAAAAATTCCTTAGTAAAATTGGCCAAGAGAAATCGCTGGAAATAACTTTCAAGATTCTGGATTAACCGCTAGGGGGCGTAACTTGCGAAGAAAATTTTGAAAACCAGTTTTTTGGGAATTATGTCCAATTATACCAAGTGTTAAATAAGTAAACTAGAAAGAGGCATAAATTCTGCACAAAGTTGTTCAAGTACTTTTTTTATTTTTTCAAATAAAGGGTGGGGGAGAGTGGGAAAGTATTTGTAGATAAATACCTATAACTTTGGTTTGAATCAACTGATTTTAACAAAATTAGTGTCATTAGAAAGAGTATGGATGAATTAATTTATATCTACTATAAAATAATTGTATTTAGTTTTAATTGTCGTAGGTAGAGGGTACTTTCGAATAGAAAACATTAAAATTTGTTTTTCTTCAAAATTTTTAATGGAAACACCTATTTATTGTAAATTATAATGGAACTGGTTTACATTTGTAATAAAATGGCGCAAACCGCATGTTAATAGCTTTTATCGAACTCGAAAACATAAGTAAGTATAGTATTGACACACCCTGTATTATAAAATAAATTAAAAAATAAATCAGTAAGTACTTTCAAAATTTTTTATAGCAGAAAACTCTTAATGTTGATACCTATTTTGACCATTGTTATTTCATATGAATAAAAATTGTTTTTTCGAAACTAAGTAAAGTAAGAAGTAGAGATTTCGGACTACTTATATGTGGATTCTGTTGAATTAAAGCAAGAACATTGATTGAATTATCTTCGGTCATAACTCTACTACGTCGTTTAAAACAAGGACGAGAAAAACTACCAGTTTCTCTTAATCTTTTTGCCTTTCTTTCAAATACTTCTTTGCCATAATGTCTCCTGTCACGATATCTTACAAAATATATACGTGAGGCAATAGCGGCATGTTGGTGACATTCGAAATAAACTCCAATCATATCATACAATTTGATATACTCATTACGAATTATTTGTACTGATAATTAAATCCTAATATTACCAATATTAATATCTATTGAAAAAAGTGCAATCTTTAATTTGAATTATAATATAGCACTTCTTAATAATGTTTTGACTACTGTCAATAAATAAACAATATAAACTCCCCGTCACATTCATTGCCGTAGCCTCCTTAGTTTCGAAAAAACTATTTTTTACAAAATAGGTATCAACATTAAGATTCTTCTGCTATAAAAAAATTTGAAAATACCTACTGACTTATTTTTTAATGTAATTTATAATACAGGGTGTGTCAATAATATACTTACTTATGTTTATGAGTTTTTATTCATATCTCGAGTTCAACAAAAGCTATTAACATGCGGTTTGCTCCATTTTGTTACGAATTTATTCCAGTTCCATTATAATTTACAATAAATAGGTGTTTCCATTAAAAATTTTAAAGAAAAACAAATTTTATTATTTTTTATTTGAAAGTCCTCTCTACTTACGACTATGAAAACTAAATGCAAGTATTTTATAGTAGATGTGAATTAATTCATCAACACTCTTTCTAATGACACTAATTTCATTAAAATCGGTTGGACCAAACCAAAGTTATATCTATTTATCCACAAATACTTTCCCACTCTCCCCCCCCTTGATTTAAAAAAATAAAAAAAAAACTTGAACAACTTTGTGCAGAATTTATGCCCTTTTCTAGTTTACTTATTTAACACTTGGTATAATTGGACATATTTCCCAAAAAAACTGGTTTTCAAAATTTTCTTCGCAGGTTACGCCCCCTAGCGGTTAATCCAGAATCTTGAAAGTTATTTCCAGCGATTTCTCTTGGCCACTTTTAGTAAGGAAATTTTTTTCCTACAGTTTTTTTTTATTTACTTAATTAGATGGCTTTGGTAAAGACCAATTAGCCAGACGATTTTTTTTAACTATAATAATTTAAAAAAGAAAACTTTAAAACAATACTCATCCTTCTTCACAATAACAATGCTTAAAGTATTAGTAGTGCTTAAAGTTAAGTGTGAGCAGTGTAATTTGTGTGTGTGTTTTTTTTTCTATGTAGAATTTAGTTTTTTTTTATATATATTTTTATTTTCAATTTTTTTTTTGCTTTGTGTTTGTTTTTATTTTTGTTTGCTTTTTTTTATATGCACTATTTTTTTTTGTTTTTCGTCGCCCACTGACAAAATCTAACTAGTTGCAGGATTGCTAACAAAGAGGTGGTTAGTAATTTACAATCTCATTTTGCACCGTTTAGTGTGATTATATAAGCAGTACAATATATTAATATTCTTATTGAAAATTATACAATTTAAATTTATAGGTAAGCAAATTTTGTTATTAATAACTTCATTATAAAATTTATCTGTGCTTTGACTATTTAATGAACAACCAAGTAGAATATGTGTTAGGTCTCCAAGTTCCCCACATAAACATGAGGAATCATCAATTAAACCAATTTTACATTTATAGCTTGGTGACATTGCATGAGTTGCTCTTATTCTGTTGTTAATAATAAAGTTCCTGTTGTTTTCGTTGTAGAACCATCTTATTATTGGGATTTGGACTTGACATGATTATTTATAGTTTAATCCTATTTGTTTGCTGCCATATAGTTCTTGCCATTTAGCCTTAAGTTGAACTTTAAGTGTGGAATTCAGATCTGTATATGGAATACACTGGTTAATAGAGTCTCTGTGTAAGTCTGAGGCGGATTTTGCAAACTTATCAGCAATTTCGTTTCCTTGAATACCCGAATGCCCTTTGATCCAAACTATTAGCACCTCCCGTTGCGAGCTAAGTATTTCGTCGTTGATCTGTAGTATTTCTACTTCTAGATGACTTAAGTTCTTGGCCGCACTTATATTTTTTAGTCTCTCTATGACACTTTTGCAATCTGTAAATATAATACGTTTGAGTCTATATTCCTAAAGTTATAACATGAATAGTTTCTGATATATAGCCGAGAGATCGGCTTATTGGACCACCCGGTACAAGCTGTTTATGAGAGTAATAAATAACAGGTGAACGTTGAAGCTCGATAGCAATCAACCGGTAGATCAGGCAGGATTCCGAAAGGGTTACAGTACAGCGGATCATCTTCGTACAGTCTGAACGATAATAAAGAAAGCCAATAAATATCACTTGAACTTATACATTGGCTTCGTTGATTATAAAAAGGCATTCGACTCCATAGAACTTATGACAATAAAGAGAGCTATGAACAACTGCAGGATAGGCTCCCGATACAGAATGCTCGTAGATAATAATTACAAGAAAGCTACAATGAAAATACAAAAAGATGCGAAAACCAAAGCTATACTAATCAACAGAGGAGTTTGCCAGGGAGATGTTATCTCACCAAAGCTATTCACACTTGAACTGGAAGACGTGTAGATAAAAACTTCAAAGACATTAACTGGGTAGATAAAAGAATAAATGTTAATGGAAGAAAACTGAGTCATTTGAGATACGCTGATTGTAATTGTAATATTCGCTACAACTACAAACCATGATGACGCAACTATTTCAAGCTTCGGAAAAAGTAGGTCTTAAGATGAACTTGGAAAAAACAAAAATAATGACAAATACATCGAACATTAGAGAAATAACGTTGAACGACATAAATTTAGAAACAGTAAGCGAATACATCTACCTGGGACAGATAATGAAAGTTAACAAAGAAAGTCAAACTGCCGAAATTACCAGAAGAATAAGGTAGGCATGGGCAGGATTTGGAAAACTGAGTTGGATCTTGAAAAGCACTAAAATAGAACAATATTTGAAAACCAGAATTTACGATCAGTCTTACCGCCCTATACTCACGTATGGTTCATAGACGTGGACACTCACCAAGTCTAATATGGATAAAATAGTAAAAGCACAAAGAGCGATGAAAAGAATAATGCTCGCGATGAGACTTATGGACAAAAAACAAAAAAATAGATTAGAAGCAAAACCAACGTAAAAAACGTAGGAGAACATGCTGGAAAATTAAAATGGAATTTCGCAGGATACATTTCCCGACTAAAGGATAAAATATGGAACAAAGAAATACAACAATGGAGACCATGGTTAGGAAAGAGAAGTGGAGAAAGACCACAAATTAGATGGGCTGATTAAGAAAATAGGAGAACACAACTGGACGCAAGTGGAAGTAAGTGGCGCAAAATAGAAAACACTGGATTGATTTTGGGGGAGGCCTATAACCAAAGTTGGATTACTTAAGGCTGAAGAAGAAGAAGAAGAAGTAGCGGCTTCATTGCTAACATTATCTATGACCAGAATACATATATAGGTGTATAATATTTCTCTGACCCACTAATCAGCTAACTACTTTAATTATGATTTTTATCAAAAACTCTATAAAATTCAATAATTTTTTTTATTTTTAGCTCCCAGAATTGACAGAATTTGAAATGAACAAACAGTTTATTATTGAAGGTCAAGTAGGAGCTTTGCTATCAGATGCAGATAATTCCTCATCATCTTTAACTTCTGAACCACCGTCGCCCATAGACATATGGAACAAATTTGGCGCAATATCTTATAATAAAGGTATTATTAATTTCTGGTATATTTTAATTTGTTAAGTTACACGTGGTAAAAACTTATATTACTACTAGTGTTATACATCTTGATATTAGACTAAATTATTAAAATCATTATGAAATTTATGGATGTTAAGGCGCTAACTTCTCTTCAACTTGACCGGATAACTAGGAACGTGATATGGAAGCACATAGATCAAACTAACGATTTCATTTATTCTAAAATAACTCCGTTACTGTCCCGCTTAACGCAACTAATGTCATATAAAGAATAAGAGAAACGAAATATTATTAGTCATAGGCGATTTTAATGCAAAAATTGAACAAGGTCGCGATAAAGACATGGTAGGACCCTGAGGTCTAGGAAAGTGAATTCCCTCTATTAGTTGGCTGGCTATTGCAGACCAAGACTGATATGAGTGCTGCTTCCAGTAGGGACATACCGTTCCCGGATAGTTAAATTTATATCCATCCACATCATGTCGTTTATTTTAATATTTTTAAATATTTTTAAGTATTCAAATAATGAAAACGTTGACAATATGAGTTCATAATTCTAATAGGAAATGAGTCAATAATGGAAAGATGAAGGGAACACTTCCAGGTGATACTGAATGGAAATCAAGTGAATACAATGGATAAGGAAAGCCACATCAAGAGAGTATACATGAGAAACATGGAAAATCCAGAAACTATAGAAAAAGAAGAACTAGAAGAAGCAATAAGAAAGATAAAGATTGGAAAAGCACCAGGAAGCGATGAAGTAGCACCAGAAATGATGAAATATATAGGAGTAAAAGCAAAAGAAAAATTGTTATACATATATAACCTAATATGGAAGAGAAAAGTAATACCCAGAGAATGGACAAATGCAGTAATTATATCTATATACAAGAAAGGAAACACAAGAGACTGTAAGAACTATAGAGGTATATTACTACTATGTGTAGCAGCAAAAGTATACGAAACCATAATAGAAAGGAAAATCAGAAAAGAAATAGAACATAAATTAGAGGATGTACAAAGTGGATTCAGGAAAGGACACAACACACAAGACCATATATTCACCATGCAACAAGTAATAGAAAAGACCTTAAAGAAAAATAGAGAAATATATATGAGCTTTATAGACATGGAAAAAGCATTCGACTCAGTCAAAAGAAAAGATATATGGGAAAGCCTAAAAAAGAAGCAAGTAAGTGAAGAACTGATAGAAGCAACAAAGAGTATATACATGAAAACAACAAACACAGTAAGAATGTCAAATATGCAGTCAGAACCATTTGAAACAACTCAAGGAGTTAGACAAGGAGGAAGTCTCAGCCCAGTGCTATTCATAAATGTAATAGATGAGATAGTGAAAGAATGTAAGAAAACGTTCAAGAAATACTGCATTGGTTGGAACAGAATGCAAATGATAAACGCTGAGATGTGTATATTTGCAGACGACATAGTATTAATTGCGGAAACAGCAGAAAAACTGAAATGCAACTTAGAGAAATGGAACCTAGAAGCAAGCAAATACAACTACATAAAAAAAACTACATAAGATCGTGCATATTGACTTATTTCCTATAATTAGTACTTCTAAGTACATAGTTTTCAATTTAAACCCCCATCCCCAATGCTTACTAAGTTTACAAAGTTTACTGAAGATGGACTCATAAGTCCGAAAACGTTCGGTCTGCACAAAAAAATCAACTTTTGTAATCTATTTTGATTTTTAATTTAATTTTTAATTAAATATCTACCAATTACAACAGAAGTTTTTACTTCAATGTAAAAGTTTGTTGACTACTATGGTATACAGCCAACTCCCGGGAACTATCACACTTTAAGCTTGTAATTATTGTTTTAATTATAAGCTCTTTTTTATTTTATATCTTATTTTAGGAGCCAGCATTATAAGAATGGTCGAAAACACAGTAGGGTCAGATAGATTTAAAAGGATTCTGCACAATTATTTGGTGCAACAGTAAGTATACCAATACCATATACAGTGAGGTTCTAAAGTAACGGATAAATTCATTATATATATATATATATATATATATATATATATATATATATATATATATATATATATATATATATATATATATATATATATATATATATATATATATATATATAACAAGCGAGTCTTCTGCAGCTGGCGCCGCTTCTCGCATCATAATTTCCAGCGTTTTCTGTCGAAGCAATCTTCAGTTGTTAGATCTCTGTCGGTCATTGCATCGTCGACATCCTCTCTTCAGGATTGTCTTGGTCTACCTCGTTTTCTTCTAGTTGGCGGAGTCCATTCTTTAATTTTTTGGCCATCTATTTTCCGGCATTCGCTGAAGGTGTCCATACTAGTTAAATCTTTTGGCTTCGATTGTGTCTAGTATGTCTAGATCGATTTCCATTTCTCTCCGAATATCTTCATTTCTCACCCTATCAAGTCTAGTGAGCTGGCAACATCGTCTCCAGTAGTTCATTTCCATGGCTTTAATTTTTGATTTGTTTCTTTGGTTTATTTCCCAGAGTTCGGCACCGTACAGTCTAATACTTTCTATTATTGTTTTATAAATTCTTGTTTTATTTTCTTTTGTTATTTTTTTGTTCCATAATAGTCCATGTAGCTGTCTGGTTGCTGATCTTGCTTGGCCAATCCTGGAATGTATTTCTTCGCTACTTCCTGCTTTTGATGTTATTTGGACTCCCAAGTATTTAAAATGGTCTGTTGGTTTTATAGTTTCCATTTCGATTTGTAGGCTTTCTGGTTTCTCTCCTACAACTAAGTACTCAGTTTTTTGTATATTAATTGTGAGGCCCCATTTGGTGTACTCATCTTCCAGTTTTCTAAGCATGTATCCTACATCACTCTCGTCTTCAGCTAGAATGGCTTGGTCGTCAGCGAAGTGTATCGTGTACAATCTATCATCTCCGATTGGGATGCCCATATTGCAGCACTTTCTTCTTCACAGTGAGAGTGCTTCATTTAGATATATTTTGAAGAGTGTAGGTGCTATGCAGTAACCTTCCTTTAGGCCCTTACTAATAGAAATTTCTCTAGTTAATCTATTTCCAGTTTTAATATTTGCCATCATATTTTTGTAGAGCTGTTGTACTGCTTGTATATATTTTTTACTTATTCCTTGTTTTCCATTGCTACCCAAAGCATTGAAAGTGGTACACTATCGTATGCCTTTGTCAGATCTATAAAGACTATATGAGTTAAAAGGTTGTGGGGTAATCTTTTCTCGATACCTTGCTTTAGAGAGAATATACTGTCCATACAGGATCTGCCTGCACGAAAGCCATTCTGTTCTTCTACATCTGTCATCTCTTTTTCAATTTTATTTTTTATAATTTTTCCATACAGTCTTGAGAGTAAATTTATGACACTTAGCCCCCTGTAGTTTGAGCAATTCTTTCTATCTCCTTTTTTGTAGATGTTGTTAATATGTGCTTTTGTCCACTCCGGTGGTAAGTCGTGTCCATTATAGAATAAGGTGAAGACGTACGCCAGTAATTCTCGTAATACTTGTGGGCTATGTTTTAATAATTCATTTGGTATACCTCGTGGTCCGCATGACTTCCGATTTTTTAGAGTTCGTATTGCATTCTCGATTTCCTGTACTGTTATTTCATCGTCTTCACTGAATTCCAGTTCATATGTTGTTGTAATGATGTTCGTGTATTGAGGTCTTGTTTCAGTCAAAAGTTGCGAGTAGTGTTCGATCCAAGATATTTCTTCTACTAAATCTATTCTACTCGTTTCTTTTCTGTTTGTACTCAGATTTTTTACCGTTTTCCATGCTTCTCTTGATCTTGTTGACCCTATATATTTGTTGAGTTTTTCGGATTTACTTTCCCAGGAAATATTTTTGCTTTAGTTACTAAATTTTTTACTTCTCTGTTTGATCTTGCATATGTTTGTCTATCATCTGGATCATTTGTTTGCAGCCACTTTTGATATGCTTGTGAGCTTTTGGATTGTGCCGAGCGCTTCGTAAGCTGCTTCATTGATTTTATTGATTATCTCTTTATAGGTATTCTGGGCTGAGGAGTAGATCAGGTTTGCCAATTTTTGGCTAAGTCACAGCTTCATTTTATACAATATACAAATTCATTTTATACAATATTATAAACACAAATGAAAAATCCTAAAACTAGTCAATTTTTATATATGAAAATACACTTTCCCAATGACATTATTCAAATGTATCTTGAACTACTTAGGGGTAGTTACTCCTGAAAAACTTTTAGATGAAAAGGGGTAGTGTGTGATACAGCGTTTAAAAGGGGTTTTAATGCTCTATTCAGCAATGTAAATATTTTTCTTTTTTGTACAGGGATAGTCAAAGAAAAAATTATTTTATTTCATTTCATCAAAAAGCCGTAATATCTTTCACGATTGAATCTATTAGTTGTTTTGTTGTCAAAAAAGTAACATCAGACCTTTTTGTTTATTTTGTAAAATAATAGTACCATAAAACGAATTTAAATTTACTAACAATAATTACAACAATTTAGTCTAAATCATATGCTCAAAATAATCACCGTCTCTTGATAGAAAAATATACGGTGCTGAAAATCTTCGATTACATTTTTTAACATCTCTGCGGTGATTTCAATAATTTCTTGCCTATGCGGTGCTTTAAGTCATCAATATTGGTTAGTGTCATCATAAAGATTTTTGTTTTTAAATAGCTCCACAAGCAATAATCCAGTGGACTCAGATCGCCAGAATGGGGTCGCCATTCAATTTCGCCACGTCTACCGATCCATCGATGCGGAAAAGTTTGATTAAGAAATGTTTGTACTGGTGCTGCATAATGTGGTGGAGCTCCATCTTGTTGAAACCATTTATATTTCTATTAATTTCTGCAGGGTTAACAGTATCTGGAAACAGTGGTCGTAAGTCAGGTGCTAAAACATTTTGTAGAAAGTTCAAATAACTCGGCCCAGTTACTGTACCCTCAAATAAGTATGATCCAATTATTCTATTATATAATATGCCAGTCCAAACGTTTACTTTCTCAGGATATTGAGTGTAACCTTCATTCATCCAGTGCAGATTTTGCCTACTCCAATATCGACAATTTTGTTTGTTGATCGTTCCATGTAAGGTAAATGTTGCCTCATCTGAGGGAGAACATTTTTGGGAAACATCGAATTCCGTTGGCATTTATTCGTAATTACTTCTAAAAATTGTAATCTACGATCTGGATCATCTTCATTTAGTTCCTGTAGTAGTTGAATTTTATGCAGATGTATTTATTGTTTTTCAAAATTCTTAATACAGAAGTTTTACGTATATACTTGTCACAGCCATTTGATAATTATTTTGTTTGTATACCGCTTTGAATGCTGAAGTTACAAAATCTCTTATTAAAATTCAAAGAAAGCTTTAGCTATAAAACCTTTTTAAATCATAACAATCTTTCCACTTGTCGGCAATAATTTTTATATTTTATCGCCATCACTTCAATTTATTTTGTTTATTTTAACGCGTAAGTGGTGTAATAAAAATTGATGAGGTTCTTACAGTTCACTAAGACTCTGAGCGCTGAACGGTCGTTGTATCCGTGGCGTAATATTTTTTTAATTTTGTGTATGTATAGATTGATGCTTATAAGTGATAATTTTGTTACATCATTTTTTTAAAAGCACGCGATATGTTTTGTTGGGAACTGGCAAATATAGATTTTCAATAATTTTGAAGTTTAATTTTGTAATATACGAACCGTGTATTTTATACGCAAATTCGGCTAGAATTGCGTTGGTACACACTTGACAATACTTATCACCACCCAATTCTCTTGTTGGTTTATGTGGATTTTCCTCAACAGTTAATAATACATCTAATTTCTTTTGATCATTCAATATTGATCTACCAGATTTGGAAAGATCTTTGACAATTTGAAATTTTCGGAATTTTTTCTCTATTCTACTCACTGTAGACTGGGGAAATATGACGGTCGTGATACTTTTCAATAAATAAATCTGCATACCTCAGAAAATAAAACATACATTTATTACGCAAATACAAAAAATTAAATGAAATGAGGTTAAATGCTCGAATAAATGAACTTTGAAAATAAGGCTATTATCGAGCACAAGTTAATTAAATCTAGTCCAAGTACTTTCGCTTAAAATAGCATCTTCAGGGGCATTTCGTCAAAATGTGAACTATCCGGCAAGCGTAGAATGTGGAAACATTAAAAATAACATAAATTGTACAAAACACTACACTAAAACGAGGACAAACAGTTTAAAATTACTTCGTAAATTACGTAGAAGTAATTTTAAACTGTTGCCTAAGTGGTCGCCTAAGTGCATATTCAGAGGAACTTCTCGGTGAATATCAAAGTGGCTTTAGGCCTGGTCGATCAACAACAGATCAGATCTTTGTGCTAAGGCAAATACTGGAAAAAACCAATGAATTTAATATCGATACATAACATCTTTTTGTAGACTTCAAATCTGTCTATGATAGTGTCCTAAGAAATAAATTGTATAAAGCCATGAATGAATTCCACATCCCCAATAAACCGATAAGATTGGTTAAGGCTACAATGCGTAATGTGGTTTGCAAAGTCGAAATACAGGGCGAACAATCACAGGCGTTTGGAACGCATGTTAGGCTGCGACAGGGAGACGCGCTGGCGTGTCTCCTTTTCAACATAGCACTGGAAAAGGCGATCAGAGATGCCCGAATAGACAACAGAGGAAATATTTTTAATAAATCATCCCAAATTTTGGCATATGCAGATGATGTGGACCTAGTTGCCCGCACAACACGCAAGCTAGAAGAAATGTATACCACTTTTTTAAATGCCTCAAAATCTATGGGCCTGCAAGTAAATGAGGAGATAACTAAGATGATGGCATCAACACCCAATAATAGAGTCATGAACATCGGTCCCCAATTCACGGTTGATAACTCTACCTTTGAAGTGGTGAACAAATTCACATACTTAGGCTCCCTGAT